TATGCAAGCTGTCAGAAAACATATTAAATCTTAGACTTGTTTGGTTCCTACAATGTAATTTTTTTCAGAAACCATGAATGTGGTTTTAGAAAGAATTCTTATGGTGTTGATCACGTTGTGTAAAGAACAGAATATTCAGGGTCTAAGGGAGGAGAATGAAGTGCTTCACCAAAGTGTTCTTAGCATCACACTTTTTACTATAACCAGAAGCGTTGGCCAGCTAATTTTTTGTTGACAGTTTTGTCATTTGGTGTACTAGAGCAGCAGCAGCAAGTACTGAGAAATGTCTACTTTGCAATTGTACTTGGTTAGTTATTTGGTTTAATCAAGGATGTAATGAAGCAAAATGAATAAGTACAAAGGCATAATTGAGACACAACAGGTATAATTGGTAAATCAGGTATCTGCCTGAAATGCTATGCGTGTTAGTGGCTTTTATGAATGTAAAAATACCAGTCTTATGTAATCTCACCAACCCATTGTACCTTCTTGCAAATAAAATTATTATTATTATATAATAATTTAACAATGAGCAAAAGGAGGTTCCAAGAGCCAGGAATGAGTACCTCGATGCTATGATTCAGTTTGTAAATAACAGCAGATAAAACAAAGACCTGGCCAAGCTGCTTCATAGCAACATCATGAAAAACATTTAATTAAAGTAACAAGTGATGAAACTGTTGACCGGGTAAAGAGGAAAAATTCTTACAGAGAATGACATGGAAATCTGTGTTAACTTGTTTGGGCACCAACTCTTTGCCTTCAGGTGTGAACCCATTTTTTGGACTCTGAACCCTTTTGGCCCACTCTTTGCAGTGGTCTTGTGGCTCTAGTTTTTTTTTGCCTTGCAGCATATTTCATGTGTAGCATTGTGGCCATTTTTCCTTGTGCTATGCCTTGCGGCATTTGTCAAATGCAGCATTTGACCATTTTCCAGGATGCCACCCACAATAGTCGACTAACACCCAGGTTCCTAATCACCGTTAGGTGAACATAGGCAACGGGTGTAAGGAGACTTGCCAGTATGTTTTGCCCTACCTGTTCCTGTGTGAGGAACCAAACAAGGTATTCCAGTTCTTCACAATAGAGCAATGGAACGTTCTTGAAGTTAGGGTGTATAAGATGTTGCTACAAATAGGAAACCTACCAGAAAGTTCAAAGACTGCTAATGTAGTCCTAATACAGTATACAAATATGGAGATGGCCACGAGTCATTAAACTATAGACCAGTATTCATAGTTTACATACCATACAAGGTAATGGGGAAGAGTGTGAGAAAGAGGCTAATAACATATCTGGAGAGAAAGGCCTTAATAATGCATCAACAGCATGAGTACAGGGATGATGATCTTGCCTTACACATTAGATAGATTTCCATTACCGAATGACAAAAATCAGACAGAGAAGGGTGGGCTGACTGTATCTTTTTGGATTTTGTATATTTTGCCCTTCAAGAATTGGGCAGAAAATAAGACCTGGGTATTAATATCACACTAAACCTATCTTCCAAAGTACACATCAAATGGATGTTACTGCAGCTAATGCTAGGTTGGACCATTGCAAGAACTACCTTTCTGAATCTGAGTTAGGAATCATTTAGAAAATTATGCACCTTATGTCAGACCAATTGTGGAATATGTAGTGCCAGCATGTAGTCTTTATTTAGTCAAACACAAAATAGAATTGGAGAAAGTCTAGAGGTATTGTATCTGACTAGTTCAAAATCTTAGTGATGTGGGTTATGAGGAAACACTAAAGAATTTTAAGCCTCAGGTCACTGAAAGACGCAAGTATTGGGAGACTTGATTTTTATTAGAAAAATTCTAAGAATAATTGATCGGACAGAGTGACAAATGATTTATCATGGTGATACACAAACAAGAAACACATGTGGAAACTAAATACACAACTTCAAATTTAAATAGGACAGAGCACAGTGGGCTTGGAGATCAGTTTATTGAGGGTTGGCATGCGGGATCGAAAAGTGAGTGCTAAACCCAAACAAGTACAACTAGATTAGTGTCTAGGAGTTATAATGGTAGGGGGACTCCCCTGCCAAAGAATAACATCTCTCTTCCTCTGTCTCGCCACCTTCCACATATGCCATCAGCTCTTCTAAGTGCAGGTAAATTGCGTACTGTATTAGCATTGATTTAATTTAATTATTGCATTAATATCTTTATTTTTGTGGTGTGGAACAGATTAATCCAATTTACATTATTCCTTATGGGAATTTTTTTTTTAGTTTAGTGTATTCAAACTTGGCATTCGTCCCACCAACAGAAACCAATTAAGTTTGAATGCCGAGGTTTCACCGCAATGGTTTCAGGATCTCATTTGTGGCAAATAACCTTCTGGTTGGCGGATGTTATATTGGTGCTTGAGGTTTGTTTACAGATGGCATCCAAGCCAGACTTACCATTGGATGGTTCTGTTGATCTAGAATGGATATTGGCAGAAGACAGCTGTGCTTCAGGAGTCAGTGATGTAAATAAGATAAGAAACTTGTGTGAATTTAATGGAGTTATGAGTACAACTCCATGTTATTAAACTTGGCTGAAAAAGTGTCAAAATCAGCTGAAAATGTTAATGATGAGAATCATGCACAGGTGAGGCTTGAAACCAGACTTGCCAGACAGGACACGATACTGTGTTAAAGGAACTCTCCCTGGAAAATGACCAGTTAAATTTTAGATGGCAGCTCTTCAGCTGCATCTATATAAACTAATGAATGGTGAATTAAGTGAAGATAATCACCAGAATAAAGATGAGAGAGGCCATGCAAGAAATAAAAGTGTAAAAGTCTACAAAAAAATGTGGCAATAACCTTTTCTGAAGTCTTAAAGAGAAAGGAATATATAATCCAAATAGTGGGGAAAGTGGACTGTACAGTACTGAACATTAGATACAAGATACTGTCAAGGTAAGTCAATAAGGTCTATTATATTTTCCAGTTATTTAATTAGGTTATCTGTACTAATGCTATTTTTTTGTGCTTTGAGAGAATGTTAAAACTTGCTGTGTCGATGGTGATTGATATAACACTGAGGGTTTATCTAGTTGTGAATAACTTAATTGGTCAAGTTATTCACTAATTTTCCGACACCACCTCGTTCCTTCAAAATTGTATATAATACATGAGAATTTTTCAATTGCAGAATTTTTGCATATTGATACTTGCCTGTACTGACCCCCTTTATTTCCCCCCTCTCTCCCCCTCTATTTCCCCCCTCTGTCTCTCTCTCCTCCTCTACTCCCCTCCCCCCCTCTGTCCCCGCCCCATTTTCTGGAAGAGCCTCCTGGGCCAGGATTCCACAAACATTTAAGCATCCATTCACTTACGAGCTGTTCGTCTCAATCTTTGGCATCTTTGTTTTTGTCCATTAAACAATTTATGAGCTCCGAAGCACTAGGAGGCTTCTTTATAACAACACTTGTTTAGGAAGTTTTAGTTCTCATAAACTGTTTAATAAATATAAACAAAAGCCACTAAGATTTAAGAAAGGATGTTCAGGTCTGTAAGTGGTTGCATAATCCCGGCCATGGGATCTCTCCGAGATGGCTTCTTACTACAGAGTCGCATCAGTGTTAGGAGTCCTGTTTGGCCTACTGGGGACCAGAGCCATTCATGTTTCTGGTCCTACTGGGGACACCAGAGCCAGAGCCTGGTTTCCCCTCTCAGAGGCACAGAGAAGGGGAGTCGCCAACTTTTCCCTACTTCACCAACTTCCTTATTTATCTCACCCTCCTTGCCCTTCTCAACCTTCCCCTCTCCTTGACCCACCTTCCCTACCATTCACCACCTTCCTTACTTTTCGCCACTTTCCTTTCATCTCTGTCCATTTTCACTAAATACAATCACTTCATAAGAGAAATATTTAATATGCTAGCTAAATTCTAGTGAGGATGGAGTTTTTCATTTAGCGAGATTGGAAATTAATGTAATTTGCCATTTTATGCAAAGGAGGGGGGAAAACATGGAGTTTGACCCCAATCTGTCTGACTTTCCCCAAGTAAAGACCAGTCACCCTGCAAAGTTTGGTGGAGCTAGCCCCATGCATCTAGCTCCCAACTTCAGACACACACACATACAGTACTGTATGTATTTTAATTATAGGTTAGCTACATTAATTGTGCAATTTAGTTATAGATTAGCTATTTGTTAATGAATGGTAGCTATAAATGGAATGAGTCATTTGTTAATTGGATTTTGTGTTATGGGCATATTTGTATAAAGACAAGTAGTGTGGCTCTGCTTTTGCAGATTTACACATGCCGGGCTATGGACTAACACGGTTGTGAATTTTGACCGTGGCAGAAGAGGTGCAGCAAGTATTTTCTGAGCAGAGCAGTGTCGCATCAGATATATGATGGCAAAACACTTATAAGTTCAAGATAATATTTTAAAGTTTACTTAACATCATGTTCAGTCTTTTTCACTAGTAAAATTGTAATAATGGTGGTGAACATCAAAAATATAAATATATTAATTTTTGGTGAGAAAACAGTACTCCCTTAATTCTGCAAAATATATCTCCTTCAGTAGTGAATGTGGTCTAAGATGAATTGATCTGTTTAAGTGGTATTACATTGTAAAGCAGTGTAGTTATAACTAGGTGTTAAAATAGGTCAAGTTGAGTACTCGCCTATTTGTGCTTGCGGGGGTTGAGCTCTGGCTCTTTGGTCCCGCCTCAGATAGAGGTATGAGTATAGAAGTTTTATTGCTCCATGGTAAAATATTTCTATATAGTTACATTATTTTGTTTTCAGGGCATTTATTTAGTAAGAATAATTTCATTATTCTGTGTGCAGTATTGTGTGTGTACAGTACAGACTGAAGGGGCAATGAGAAATAAGGGAAGGAAAGAAATGCCTTGTATTAGGAATTCCTCCATTGATCACTCTAATGTGATCCATCCATATCCAGTTTTAGTTGTTAGTAAATTGCCTTATAAGCTGGAATATTCTAATTTTAATATATCCTTTTCTTTTTATTTCAGGGAGACATTCACCAGAACCAAGTGGATTGATGAACAGCAGTATTGTGAATAGTAATAGTGGGAGTGGGAGCAGCAGTAGCAGCAGCAGTAGTAGCAGTTGCAGTAACAGCAGCAGTAGTAGTGGCAACTCTATATCAAACAGCACAGGTAGTGGGAGTAGTAGCAGCAGCAGCAGCAGCAGTAATGGTCTGAGCAGTGGAGTTAGCAGCAGTGTCAGTGTAACTTCACCACAAGGAAGTGTGGCTGGCAGTGCGACTACTACTCCGGCTCTACCATCTGGGGCGCCGACTCCATCAGTACCATCAGCCCACTCAGGGCACACACCAACTATGGTATGTAATCATTCATCTTTGTGAATTGTTTATTTTTTCTTAGCTCCATCATTATTTTCCCAACTTCTTACACTTTTTTAATGTTGTGTGTGTGTTATAGGGTAATTATTATCGCTTCGGTATTACCTGTCCATTGTTTTGTTATGGCCCTCTTACCTGTGCATCACTCATTTTATGTTGCAGCTTTTTTGATACAAGTCAATATTTTTTGGACATTTCTGACTGACATTTCTGTTGCTTTCGTCTCTCTACCTGTTCGGTTCAAAGGTCTTTCAGCTTCAGTAGCGATTCCAAATTATATTTTTACTTCCTCTCCCCTTGATTTTCTTAACTCCAGTACCCTATACTCTATTTTGCACATTCAGTGGCATTATGTTATTCTTAAATCAGATGGTAGAGTGGTCAATTCTGCACTTTGGGAATCACTGATCTATAGGTTTGCTATATTTGTTGTTGCTGGTCACCCATCAAGTGGCTTCTACCCTCCATGCACACACTTTATGGTACTGAATTTTCAATCTTCATCTGTAGCTGGAATTTACGGCCTAGTAAAGTGAAATGCTGCAAAATCTTGACCTTCCTCCAGTTCATCTCAAACAAGATCTGATCTGTTTGGTCAGTTCCAATTCTTGTCTTCTCCCTGCCTCTGCCCTTGATTATGGCATCTAAACAGCCTTATTAGAGGTCGTCTCTGTTTGAGGTGTTGTTGCTAGATCCACACATTTTAAGTGAGGATTCACTGGCAGATGTGATAATAGAGGGCCTGATCTCTCATTCAGAGTTTGTCCCAAAGTGTTTATGAGACTATATATGGAGACCACTACATCTGGGAGGGTAAAAGAAAATACAGAATAGAACCAGTGAAGAGTAGGGGTGCCATAGGCACAATCAGAGAACATTGTATAAACATGAGAGGTCCACATTTGTTCAACATCTTCCCAGCGAGTATAAGAAATATTGCCAGAACAACCGTGGACATCTTCAAGAGAAAACTAGATAGTTTTCTTCAAGAAGTGCCGGACCAATCAGGCTGTGGTGGATATGTGGGTCTGAAGGCCACTCCAAGCAACAGCCTGTTGGACCAAGCTCTCACAAGTCAAGCTGAGCTTGGGGAGTAGAAGAACTCCCAGAACCCCATCAAGCAGGCATTTCCAGTCTGAGTGCCTCTATCCCTCCTTCCTTTTTTACCTTCATTTACATTATAGATTTGAGTTTCATCCCAGGCCCTTCTCCTCTTGAGGTGGGTTTCAATAGATTGAACAATGGGTTCTATTTGACCCTTTTTCTAACCTCCATCTTAGTTTGAGCAGTCTCTCAGGCCCAGCACAGCCAGCCAGCCCTCCCTCACTCCTCCAACATTGTATTCACTAACATTGCTCCTCCCATCATACAGTTATTCACACCAATGTTTTATGTTTATTTATGTATATTTACAACATATGTACACACTATACACTGTCACACACTATATACATTTACCATCAACACATTCAGAATATCGCGAGTGTGAGTAGCCACACCCACACAGCCCTCCCTCACTCCAACATCTTACTCGCAACATTGCTCCTCCCACCATACTGTTATTGTTTTTATTACACTATTTACACGTGTTATATGTACCTATCTACATGGTTTATTTACCAGACCTATGCAAGTAAGCTGGTATTGTGTCCAAACAGTACAGTGGCCACCATACACTGCATGAGAAATCACACAGCAGACAGCAGACGACGCCACGATTACGTCACCTCCCTCACCAAAATAGCTCCACTCAACATACTCCTGTTGCTGTTATTACACTTACACACACACTGTATATACCCATGTACATGTGTGTTCCCCATAGCGAACCACGAAGCTACTATGGTGAGCAAAACAAAGAGTGGTTACCACACAGTGAGGCTACCTCAATTCTCTCCCTTCCTCCCTCCCTTACCAATATTCCTCCTTCCACAATACTACGCACAACATTAATTATAACCACAATCCTGGTCACTAATTCCTGTAAATGAATAATTGACCACAAGTTTATTTTGAAAAGGAACCTAAGAAGTCGTTTGAAGTTTCCCCGGGAATGTGGGCCATGATTTTTTTTTTAAGATGGCGTCTGTTTACAAGAGCCCTGAGGAAGCTGATGTGAACCCCATGTAGCCGCGGGAGTTTTGAATGGAACGTGAAAAATACAAATACCTGGAGGCGCGTAGCGCACCCCAGACATGGGCCTGCAGGCATGTTGTGCAGTTAAAGGGTTAATATTTAAAAAAAAACAAATTGCCAAATAACAATACATTTAGTTTAATAAAAATAAAAGCTGGACATTATGTACGTAGAAAGAGGCCTCCCCAGTGTTTAAAAATTAATGTGCTTTTGGACAGCTTCTCTTTTGATATCCTTAATGGGTCATTATTTGGTACTGAAACCTGTGATATGTGGTCCACAACGCTCAAACCTGTTTAGTGATGTTTTATGTTTTTGCTCTATGCTGGAAGTAGTATTTTACTTTAGGTTCCTCATCCAGGTTTTTGGCAGGTACATCTGCTTCATGTGCCGTGTCTAAATTTTTTGCTCTCCCTTTTCATGATTTATTAACAAATATCTATGCTGTACATTCTGCATGTCATCATGCAGTTTTAGATCATCTCCTGTTTTCTGCGCTTATGTTTTCAGATGATCACTGGCTGAACTTTGCTGAAAGATTCAAGTTGATCCACCGATCTTCACATTTGGGGTTTTAGAGCTCATTGTACCTTCACATTCATGGGAACTGGGTGGCAGTGCTTTTAACATGGCAATTGCACCCATCTACCCAGCACCAGTATGAGATGCTTGGTGGCCTTTCCACCTATTCCTTATCACATTGCTGATTGTCTTTCATTTCTGTTGCAGCTTGCTGTTCAGCCTTCACAGTACCCCTTTTACTTTTGGGGTTGATGTTTCTTTCCCGCTTTCCTTGGGTTGTCCCAGTTTTTCTTTACCTTCCAGCAACCCCCTGGTTTATCTGGAGCCCACTTGGTCTTTGAGTGGTTCTTTTCTTGTCGCCTTTGGTGAGCTCCTTTTTCAATGCTTTTGTCTTGTTGGCCATGGCTTCTGATAAGTTGCATTAGCCAAATTCATGTTGTTCACTACAAGTAAGGGTTTTGTTCTTTTCATCCTGGGAACCCCTCTTTCCGTTGCCAGTTTTTTTTTTCCAATAATGAGTCCTGTTTTTCTAGTAGACTAGAAAAGTCCACCAGTCCACTACTAGAGTCCTCTAGTGGTGGACGTCTAGTTTATCTGGCTGGGGTGCATCATTCTACCTTGTCATGTGACTAAAGTGCAGCATTACGCACATATTATTCACTCATTTCTGGCTGTGGCACAATTTGTTCAGCCTGTCTCTTTGACAACTGGTTTGAAGACTGGGCTTTCAACTACCAGACATCCTGCCAAGTTATACTGAGGTCAGGCTCGCTCTATACTTGGTGGAGGTCCACCTGTAAATTTCAGAAAAACAACTTCAAAACACAGGACTGGAATTTTCACAAGACACCTACTCTTGAGTGAAAAATCTAGAGGTTAGCAACATCATCATCCACTGTCAGGCACCCTGCCAAGACAGGTGGCTGGCTGTGAACTTAGTGAAGGTTCACCACTACCTTTCCTGCAATGTTTAGATAAAAACAGCATTTCAAAAGCACAGAATTGGGAAATGCACACTGACCTTACCTTTGAGTGTAAGAGTTAAATGAATGAAAGTATCGGCTAACAGAACCCAAACTTGGCCTGACCATTGATATAGTGTATAGATTGAGGCTGTGGCCATGCCAAACACCATCCTCTAAGCAGGTCCTGGCTATGGCAGTATGGAGTAAATTGACCTCCACACTATTCAGGACTTAAAATCTATAGTGAGCTTTCTTCTGAGTGGAAAACCGAGCACTAAAAAGAAAAAATTCTGGCTACAAAGCTGTATCAACAAAACACCTGATGCTAAGTGCAGCTGGCCATGAGGGGTGAAGTTCCATACCCAGTGAAGTAAAGAATAAATGAAAAAGTTGAGTTATATAGAAGAAAAAACAAACAGTTCTGTATATATCTTGTTCCCAAAATATTACAATATTGAAATAACATAACCTACTTTAATTGTGTACAAATATAGAAGATATAGGTATGAGTGGCAGCAGGATTTACTGCATCCAGTTTTGAAGGTCGGAAAACTTGGTCAAACATTATATGATTTGGAAATGTTTTTCTAGGCACCACTGACTCGAGCTGCTTCATGGTTTACACACCTGTTTTACGCAAGTAAAACGCTGTTGCCTGGTGCAAATAGAAGTTAATGTGATTTACAGTTGTTTAAAACTGAAGGGAAAATGTTGCAAGCTGCTGTGACGTCCACCCCTCCTCTCTTGTATAAAATTTATTGAATGTGTAATATTAATTATTGTTAGGTAAAAATGGTGTGTGTGATTTCTCACAAAAGTTGTTCAGAAGAGTCTGCCCCAAAATGTGAAGATAGCTAAGGTAATGGAGGACCTACTATGGTGTTTTATCATCTTGGTGAATATTAGTCTATGAACCTACCCAGCCAACTGTTAGAGGCACAAATCTTCTGTGGTAAGAATGACAGGTAATTTCTGATACTCTAGGCCTTTTCTTTGATGAACTGCCCTGAGAGAGAACTTGATGCTTTCTTTGGTCTTTGATCATGTTTTTCCTCCCTGTCTTCAGGGTGAAACAATCTTCTGTATCCTACATCCTAAATTTCCTGATAAGTTGTATTTTTCCATTTCCCTATCACCCTTTTTTAAGGGAATTTTCTCCAAGTTTCTTTAACGCTCCTGTTCCTTGGTGCCTGCCTGACCATAAACATTCCGGGCATCTCAAGGTCCCTTTACAGGATGCCTAAAATGTTCATAATCTCTATGTTTATTTCAGTTTTTGAGTTATGACTATACTGTATATTTGTGTCAAAAATGTTCACAAGTGAATGTGCATAGATGTATAGTAGTAGTACTGTATGGCAATAGATGTATAGATAAATTCACAACAAAAGATGTACTGTATTAATAATAGATTATGCATAATTATACTGAATGTGCAAAAATTTATGAACATTTCAACATTTCTCATTTGTTTTTCAAACAAAATTTACAATAAAAATATAGAAATGTATGCACATGATTCGTCCATATTGATATAAAAAGAAAAAAATAACATTCATATTTTTCCAGTAGGAAATTTCCAAACCATGGTTAAAATATTCACAAGTAGAGCAGTTATTTTCTTGAATGATGGGTACTTTGAGTAGTCCTCTGATAAGCTCAACCTATACTGTACTTAAAAAAATGATAGGTGTGTGGAATTCCAAGATGGACGAAGCATTTTAGCATCATCGGAACGTTTACCGTTGAAGTACAGGTGACTCATTTTAGCGCCATCGGAAAGCAAAAATATTGACCTTGTAAGAAGTGCATAACCATCTTCAGGCAACTCTGGTTTACATGTTCTTTTAACCTGTTTATTTTTTCCTTGAACCGTCATTAAATGTTTACTCTACGTTCCATAACTGTGATGGCGTAATTTCATTTGCCATTATTTCTGAATCCATATTATAAAATAGTTTATAAATGCACATTATGTTGCCAGTTTCATATGTATGTTTACTTTTACATGCACTTTACATTTGATACTTACCTTTAAGTCTTAGGTAAATATTTAAAGTGTTAATTTAAGCTGCTTTTCAGAATGCTGCTGATACAGCGGTGTCATTAAAAGCGATAGCTCAGAAGAAAGTTAATGAAGTCAATTCCTCATCGATACCACCCTCAGGTTAGTTTGTTAGTCATAATTAGGCATCCACAGTAGGCAGAGAACTTATATTTTTTACATTGTGTTTTTTCCACAGCTTTTGGTTTCTAGATGTTAACCTGACTGCCTCTTTACACTGACTCAAAACTGTACATTTGTATACTTATAAAATAGTTTCTTCCTGAAATAGGCTTGTATAACTCGCCTAGTTGCCATTTTGGGGACTAATTCTTAGCTAACCCACTTAGTTGCTCTTTTACCCAAGCACCCATATGGCCCATAGACACAACAAAACATCTCAGGCACTGTCAACCTGCTCCTTTAATGTGAAATGTAACTTTACTAAATTTACTATCTTGTAAATTGAGAAGAGAAAACAGTAGATAATTTTGTATTAACCCCCACGAGACCTACTCACACTCATACAAAGCAGAAAGACAAAAATTGACAATTCCTGAAAGTAAAACCTTGAATTTTATTAGAACACCAACCATTGCTCTACTAACTACAAATACATCATTAGCCACTACTTGGGCTGCCATTTAGTGACAGGCTTCATGTTAGCATAGTTGTGGAGTCAGAAACCCTTACTATCTACCTCACATCTAACTCCTTGACAAGCTGTTCTGCAAAGAATGACACATTTAAGCTTTTTCCAACTTGTTTGAGAATTTGTAACTACAGTACCTTAGTGAAGTTACAAGATCTACATTACTACATTGAGAGCTACATTGTGGTGTTCCATCTTCCTTGGCTTACATACATACATACATACATACATACATACATACATAGTATTAGTATATTTTGGTAGCAGTCTTTCCTGTAGACATATATTATTAAATATGACCGAAAAAGTAAGATTAATAATTCTAACACGAATTTTCTCTATCTTTCGTACATTTCTTTTCACTGTTGGTGGTAATTCAAAAATCAATTCTCCAAAATTCATTTTTATTTCTAGTCTGACGCGACACTTGAGCGCTTTTCGTAAAACTTATTACATTTTCAAAGACTTTAGTTTACACATACACAACTGAATAGAACTTACACATCTCCGATTTGTTTATATCTACATTTGAGTGAGGTGGTATTTAATAGGGTATTAAATTCATCAACACAAGACAGAACACGAAACAATGGGTATTGAATAGAAGTGATTGTAGAAAGCCTATTGGTCCATATTTCTTGATGCTTCTATATTGGAGCGGAGTCTTGAGGTGGGTAGAATATAGTTGTGCATTAATTGGCTGTTGATTGCTGGTGTTGACTTCTTAATGTGTAGTGCCTCGCAAACGTCAAGCCGCCTGCTATCGCTGTATCTATCGATGATTTCTGTGTTGTTTACTAGGATTTCTCTGGCGATGGTTTGGTTGTGGGAAGAGATCTCTTCCCACAACCAAACCATCGTGTGTGTGTGTATATATATATACTGTATATATATATATTGTACCTAGTAGCCAGAACGTCGTACTCGGCCTGCTATGCAAGGTCCAATTTGCCTAATAAGCCAAGTTTTCCTGAATTAATATTTTTTCTCTAATTTTTTTCTTATGAAATGATAAAGCTACCCATTTCATTATGTATGAGGTCAATTATTTTTTATTGGAGTTAAAATTAACATAGATATATGACCGAACCTAACCAACCCTACCTAACCTATCTTTATAGGTTAGGTTAGGTAGTCGAAAAACAATTAATTCATGAAAACTTGGCTTATTAGGTAAATCGGGCCTTGCATAGTAGGCTGAGAAGTGCGTTCTGGCTACTATAAATAATAAATAAATAAATGTTTATTTAGGTAAGGTACATACATACAAGAGATTTTACAAAAATGCCAAAAGCCACTATTACGCAAAGCGTTTCGGGCAGGTACTAGGACTAGGTACGATATATATATATATATATATATATATATATATATATATATATATATATATATATATATATATATATATATATATATATATATATATATATATATATATATATACACACACACACACACACACACACATTCAAAAGGTGACACCCCTAGGGTCAACACTTGCAGCAGAGGAGCTCCAGCATATTTCAACAATCCTAAGTATTGTAGTACAGGTTGATGGTAGTGAGTGGTGTCCCACAGAACATAAAGGTATAGTGCTCTTGAAAAATAGGTGAGATAACAGGAAAGTGCTAAGGGAAGTGAAGAATCGGATGAGAAAAAGTTGCCCTAGTGTTTACAGTGCAGAGAAGAACATTCAAGATGGCCACTGGCAAGGGGAAAAACAAAACAGAGCTTGATTTTGAGGGATTCAATGAAGAAAGCATTGATATTAGTAGTCTACATAACAAGTTGGTAAATTTAGATACTATAGTGAACTCTCATGTAGAAATAATTAGTAAATTGAAAGAAAGTAATGACCATTTGAATAGCAAAGTTTTATGTCTTGAGGGTTTAGTGAAAGACTTGCGCAAGGATAAGAATCAATTGGAAACAAATTGCAAAGCCATGGAAGAAGAAAATAAACTCTTAAAAATAGCTTTGGAAGAAGTTAAAGTAAATTTAAACATAAATGACTACAATAGGTTAGGCAAGGAAATTCAACAGGAGAAACAGCTTTTGTCAGCACAGATGGAGGAAGTTACACAGGGAATAGAACAGTGCAAGAAAGATATGCAACTCACTTATGCACAAGTGGCCAAGGAGAAGGAAAAAATAGAAGAAGCAGTAAAGGAAGTCAAACACTGCAGCAACCAAGATAAAACAAACATTAGGCTAGAAGTGAGGAAAGAATTGGCATCTAACCCGAAGTTGGTGCAAAACACAGTTGATCGGAGTAAGTCCCTGATCATTTTTGGCTGCAAAGAAAAGGCGATAACATCTAGGTCAGAAAGAGCTGTAGAAGAAGCTAAAGTAGTAGATAAAATTGTTGGCCTCGTGGAAGGTCTTACAAACAGAGAGAATGTGTGCGACTACAGGAGAATAGGCAGGTACGTAAAAGGGAAAGATCGACCTTTGAGGATCACCCTAAACGGTGCCAAACAGATGGAAGAAGTACTAAGGAATGCTAGAAAATTGCAAAGGGATGAGGATGGGAAAGGGTGGTCGTTAAGACGAGATCTTTCAAAAGAAGATAGAGAGAAGCTGAAACTGAACCTCGCCGAGGCAAAACATTTAAATGAGAGCAGGAATGAAGAAGAAATAAATTCTTTTTTCTACAAAGTGATAGGGGTAGGCAAACCAGTAAAGTGGTACATAAAGGCAAACCAACAAAATCAATAGAGAGAGGGGGAGTGAAGAATAAGGAGAGGGGGAACAAGTTCCTGAAGATTGCATACACCAACATAGATGGAGTGAGATCGAAGATACTGGAGTTAAGTGATGTAATACAGCTGCAGACACCAGACATTGTTGCACTCACGGAGACAAAACTTGAAGATGTAATTTTAAATGAGGTCATATTCCCAAGGGGCTACTCAATTTGGAGACGGGACAGAAAAATTAGGAAAGGCGGTGGCGTTGCTGTGCTGGTAAAAGAACACCTAAAGGTGAAGGAAATAATGACTGCCAATCCACAAGAAGTTGACATAATAGCACTAGAGATCTGCTATGAGGATGATAAACTAATGATGATAAATGCATATAGTCCACCGCCAAGCAGCACATGGTCAAAGGAGGAGCTAGATAGTAAACGTGAAGGTCTTATAACAATAATGAGAGAGATTATAGCGAGAGCGGATAACGATAGATCACGACTGTTGATAGTCGGTGACTTCAACTTGAAATCCATAGACTGGGAAGCATATGAAGCTAAAACAGAAGATTTTTGGACCTGTAAATTTGTAGACCTCATCCTGGAAACATTCTTGTATCAACATGTTAAACAAGCTACGAGGATGAGGGAAGGGGACGTTCCCTCCATGCTAGATTTGATATTTACCAGGAAGGAGGAAGAGATATTTGACATTCAGTACCTTCCTCCCTTGGGTAAAAGTGACCATGTCTTTTTGGGAATAAAGTATGCAATGCGTTATAAGCTGGAAGAAAATAAGGAGGTTGAAGCAGTTGAAAAACCAGACTTCAGGAGAGGACATTATGGTGACCTTAGAAATTTTTTTAGTGAGTATAATTGGACAGACTTGATGCTAGGCAAGGAAGTGAATGAGATGTATGGCAAGTTTTGTGAAATATATGATAAAGGCACAAAAAAATTTATACCAAAACAGAGATGCAGGACCAGAAAACAGGATTGGTTCGACAGAAATTGTGAGAGGGCAAGAGACCAAAAGACACAAAAATGGAATCAGTATAGGAAGAGGCCAAACCCCCAAACATACCAGCGATACAAAGATGCGAGAAACAATTATACAGCAGTAAGGAGAGAGGCAGAAAGAAATTTTGAAAAAGGGATAGCAGATAAATGTAAAACAGAACCGGGCCTATTCTACAAATTCATAAACAACAAATTGCAGGTAAAGGATAATATCCAGAGGTTGGAAATGGGAAACAGATTCACGGAAAATGAAAAGGAAATGTGTGAAACATTAAATGAAAAGTTCCAAAGTGTGTTTGTACAAAATGAAATCTTCAGAGAACCAGACACAATAAGAATTCCAGAGAACAACATAGAGCGGATAGAGGTGTCTAGAGATGAAGTGGAAAATATGCTAAAGGAGCTCGGGAGGAACAAAGCAGCTGGCCCAGATGGCGTTTCACCATGGGTTCTGAGAGAATGTGCATCTGAGCTCAGCATTCCACTTCACCTGATCTTTCAGGCATCCCTGTGTACAGGAATCGTAGCAGACGTGTGGAAACAGGCTAACATAGTTCCAATCTACAAAAGTGGCAGCAGGGAAGACCCCCTCAATTATAGACCTGTATCATTGACAAGTGTAATAGTGAAAGTATTGGAAAAGCTAATCAAAACTAAATGGGTAGAACACCTGGAGAGAAATGATATAATATCAGACAGACAGTATGGTTTTCGATCAGGAAGATCCTGTGTATCGAATTTACTCAGTTTCTATGATCGGGCCACAGAGATATTACAGGAAAGAGATGGCTGGGTTGACTGCATCTATCTGGACCTAAAAAAGGCTTTCGACAGAGTTCCACATAAGAGGTTGTTCTGGAAACTGGAAAATATTGGAGGGGTGACAGGTAAGCTTCTATCATGGATGAAAAATTTTCTGACTGATAGAAAAATGAGGGCAGTAATCAGAGGCAATGTATCGGAATGGAGAAATGTCACAAGTGGAGTACCACAGGGTTCAGTTCTTGCACCAGTGATGTTTATTGTGTACATAAATGATCTACCAGTTGGTATACAGAATTATATGAACATGTTTGCTGATGATGCTAAGATAATAGGAAGGATAAGAAATTTAGATGATTGTCATGCCCTTCAAGAAGACCTGGACAAAATAAGTATATGGAGCACCACTTGGCAAATGGAATTTAATGTTAATAAATGTCATGTTATGGAATGTGGAATAGGAGAACATAGACCCCACACAACCTATATATTATGTGAGAAATCTTTAAAGAATTCTGATAAAGAAAGAGATCTAGGAGTGGTTCTAGATAGAAAACTATCACCTGAGGACCACATTAAGAATATTGTGCAAGGAGCCTATGCAATGCTTTCTAACTTCAGAATTGCATTTAAATACATGGATGGCGATATACTAAAGAAATTGTTCATGACTTTTGTTAGGCCAAAGCTAGAATATGCAGCTGTTGTGTGGTGCCCATATCTTAAGAAGCACATCAACAAACTGGAAAAGGTGCAAAGACATGCTACTAAGTGGCTCCCAGAACTGAAGGGCAAGAGCTACGAGGAGAGGTTAGAAGCATTAAATATGCCAAAACTAGAAGACAGAAGAAAAAGAGGTGATATGATCACTACGTACAAAATAGTAACAGGAATTGATAAAATCGACAGGGAAGACTTCCTGAGACCTGGAACTTCAAGAACAAGAGGCCATAGATTTAAACTAGCTAAACACAGATGCCGAAGAAATATAAGAAAATTCACCTTCGCAAATAGAGTGGTAGACGGTTGGAACAAGTTAAGTGAGAAGGTGGTGGAGGCCAAGACCGTCAGTAGTTTCAAAGCGTTATATGACAAAGAGTGCTGGGAAGACGGGACACCACGAGCGTAGCTCTCATCCTGTAACTACACTTAGGTAATTACACTTAGGTAATTACACACCTAAAAAAGTTTTCTAATATCTCTGTGGCTCATTTGGGCACTCGGTTTCCACCTTCGTCCCCTAGTGCGTGTGCCCCTTATGTTAAATAGCCTGTCTTTATCTACCCTATCAATTCCCTTGAGAATCTTGAATGTGGTGAGCATGTCCCCTCTAACTCTTCTGTCTTCCTTCCATGTATGTATGTATATATATATGTGTGTGTGTGTGTGTAATTACCAAAGTGTAGTTACAGGATGAGAGCTACGCTCGTGGTGTCCCGTCTTCCCAGCACTCTTTGTCATATAACGCTTTGAAACTACTGACGGTCTTGGCCTCCACCACCTTCTCACCTAACTTGTTCCAACCGTCTACCACTATGTTTGCGAAAGTGAATTTTCTTATATTTCTCTGGCATCTTTGTTTCGTTAGTTTAAATCTGTGACCTCTTGTTCTTGAAGTTCTGGAGCCAGATTCATGAAACAACTTACGCAAGCACTTACGAACCTATACATCTTTTCTCAATCTTTGGCGGCTTTGTTTCCAATTATTAAACAGTTAATGAGCTCCGAAGCACCAGGAGGCTGTTTATAACAATAACAACAGTTGATTGGGAAGTTTTCATGCTTGTAAACTGTTTAATAAATGTAACCAAAGCCGTCAAAGATTGAGGAAAGATGTACACGTTCGTAAGTATTTGCGTAAGTGCTTTCGTGAATCTGGCCCCTGGGTCTCAGGAATTCTTCCCTATCAATTTTATTGATTCCTGTTACTATTTTGTACGTAGTGATCATATCGCTTCTTTTTCTTTTATCTTCTATTTTTTCATACTTAATACCTCTAACCTCTCCTTGTAACTCTTGTCCTTTCAGTTCTGGGAGCTACTAAGTGGCATGTCTTTGCACCTTTTCCAGTTTGTTGATGCGCTTCTTAAAATATGGGCACCATGCAACCGCTGCATATTCCAGCTTTGGCCTAACAAAAGTCGTGAACATTTTCTTTAGTATTTCTCCATCCATGTATTTAAAAACCACCGCAAACACCACCACAGTGCTGTACCACCATAACCTACCACCACAGTGCTGTACCACCATAACCTACCACCACAGTGCTGTACCACCATAACCTACCACCACAGTGCTGTACCACCATAACCTACCACCACAGTGCTGTACCACCATAACCTACCACCACAGTGCTGTACCACCATAACCTACCACCACAGTGCTGCACCACCATAACCTACCACCACAGTGCTGCACCATAACCAACCACCCTCATGGCTCACGATCTCTTACATGTGATATTTAAACACACGTTAACTCTTTAAGCTGCTTCTGACCAGTGATTAAGTAGATTTATCATTTTACTGTGTATATTTTCTTTGTTATATTTTGTCTCCCACCAGTAAGGTGTAAATAGCACCATATCTCCTGTGATGGAGCAGGATGAGACTGTGCTGGAAGACTTGGCTTGTGTACAGTAAAGGCTGGCTACTACTTCACTTTCATGAAAGTAAAAAACTGGGTAGTAACTACAGTATTACAAATTTGTGTTTCAGTGTTGGATGGCAGCAGTTGTGTTGTAAGCAGCAGCAGTACCACATCCAGCACCAATACAAATAGTAACAACAACTCCAGCAGCACTAATAGTTCGGGAAAATGTCCGGCAACTTGTGAAGCTCATATTCCTCCGCTATTAGGAGTAGCGCCACTTGGTCCTGCTCAGTTAACCGTTGAACATGAGCTACAATTTAAAATGCTACAGGCGGCCTTTTTCCATATGCCTCACCCGTCCGATTCGGAGAGATTGAGACTACACTTGCCACGCCAACCGTGCCAGACGCCGCTCTACTATCCACAGGTGAGCGGCCTCGACCCGCTGGTACGCATAAATATGATTTTCTGTTTTTATTTGCATTAACATTTCTGAAATTTTTTGAATATACAAATACCTGTAGAGATAATTAGTTGTTAATAATTCATACATGTATTAGATATTTAGGTCTGTTGCCCTTTTTCTTGTGTTGCTCTATTTATTTAAGGTTACAAATTAAAGATTTGTATAATCAGTTAAGAGTGTTATGTATAATAAGATTGAATGGTAAATTGATGATGCCTCTGTGAATGAAGATCTGAAGGAAGGCAAGCTTGTTCAGCAGGAACAAGGGAGAAACAATAGAAAGACAACGATAGCATCTGTGACCAACTTTTGAGTGAAAGGCACGGCAACGATTACGGATAGCCTAGTGGCAGTAGGAAACAAAGCCGAAAAAGCGTGTCCTTGTGGTGATGTGCAGGGCAGCGGTGTGGATTGTGTGGTCAGTACACAGATCTTAGAATACTGTACCTCAAAAAGTTGGACAAGAGGATTGAAGCTCTAGAAAAATTAGCAATGGCAAACAGATGGGATGTAGTGGAGAGTGAAGTGGGGAATGAAACGGAGGGGAAAGAAAGTAGAAAGTAAGGAAGAGGATGGAATATCATGGATGGAAGAGTCTCAGGGAATGAACTGTCCATTAATGATGGCAGTGTTCAACCCAGTGTTGTTGAAAATTTGATGAAGAGGCTCAAGAAAAATGTTTTACAAAAATAGAATTTAAAGAGGCTGTGGACAGGGCGAGGTCGCTTATCAATGAAATAGAATGCAGCAAAGTTAAATAGTCTGAGGACATAGAGGGAAACATTAATGCATCTACGTTGTATTTCTCCCATGTTGGTGTTACTTATTTCTTTGTCAATGAAATACATTCTTGAAGGACATCATGCTCTATAACATTAGAAGGATCTTATGCTTTACCTGCTTGATACCTGGTTGATGGGGTTCTGGGAGTTCTTCTACTCCCCAAGCCCGGCCCGAGGCCAGGCTCGACTTGTGAGAGTTTGGTCCACCAAGCTGTGCTTGCAGCGGCCCGCAGGCCCACATACCCACCACAGCCGGCTGATCCGGAACTTCTCTTAGAAAACAGTCCAGTTTTCTCTTGAAGATGTCCACGGTTGTTTCTGCAATATTTCTTATAGTCGCTGGGAGGACGTTGAACAACCGTGGACCTCTGATGTTTATGCAGTGTTCTCTGAGTGTGCCTATGGCACCTCTGCTCTTCACTGGTTCTATTCTGCATTTTCTTCCATATCGTTCACTCTAGTACGTTGTTATTTTACTGTGTAGATTTGGGACCTGGCCCTCCAGTATTTTCTATGTGTACATTATTTGGTATATCTCTCGTCTCCTTTCTAGAGAGTACATTTGGAGAGCTTTGAGACAATCCCAATAATTTAGGTGTTTTATCTCGTCTATGCGTGCCGTATATGTTCTCTGTATTCCCTCTATTTTAGCAATCTCTCCTGCTCTGAAGGGGAAAGTGAGTACTGAGCAGTACTCGACGGGACAACACAAGTGACTTGAAGAGTACAACCATTGTGATGGGATCCCTGGATTTGAAAGTTCTCGTAATCCTTCCGATCATTTTTCTGGCTGACGCTATGTTTGCTTGGTTATGCTCCCTAAACGTTAGATCGTCGGACATCATTATCCCCAAATCCTTGACATGCTGTTTTTCTACTATGGGAAGATTCGATTGTGTTTTGTACCCTGTATTATGTTTCAGATCCTCATTTTTGCCATACCTGAAATTTATCACTGTTAAACATCATGTTATTTTCTGCTGCCGAATCGAAAACTTTGTTGACATCTGCTTGTAGTTTTTCGATGTCTTCAGCAGAGGTAATTGTCATGCTGATTTTTGTGTCATCTGCAAAGGACGACACGAAGCTGTGACGTGTATTTTTTTCTATATCAGATATGAGAATAAGGAACAGTAGTGGTGCAAGGACTGTACCTTGAGGTACAGAGCTTTTAACATCGCTTGGACTCGATTTTATCTGATTGACTGTTACTCTTTATGTTCTGTTCGACAGGAAATTGAGTATCTAGCGTCCTACTTTTCCAGTTATTCCCATTGACCTCATTTTGTGAGCTATCACCCCATGGTCACAGTTGTCGAACGCCTTTGCAAAGTCTGTGTATACGACATCTGCGTTTTGCTTTTCTTCTAGGGCTTCTGTGATTTTGTCAGTGGTTGAGTAACTGTGACAGACAGGATCTTCACGCTGTTAATATGGAGTGTATGATCTAACTACTTTGTGCATCATTTGTAAAGTTATTTGCAGCATTATTTCTTTACTTTCTGTGAACTTGCAATTGTCTGTTTTCCTTTGCTTCCTTCTTGGGGGTTTGTTTCTACAGTGAAGGTGAACATGAATCCTCTGGTCACATTAGCAAGGAAGGGCTCGTGCAACATTTTGGTTACTAGAAGCCTCTGAAATGCAAGATAGGCATTTCATTACATTCAACTCTGGTTTTATGGGAGTTTTCGTTCATTTCTAATAGTGTTGGCTCCTATTTTTTGCCCTTAAAACTTAGTAGTGTTCTTGTTGAACCAGACGGGTCTTTGGATAAGATCCTAGAATTTTTGGCCTCCTTTCATTTCTCGGTGGGCTGGCTCCTTTGCTCTAGGACTCTATGCTCAGGGCTGCATTCTTCCTGAGTTTGGCTTGGTCCAATTGTGTTTGGGAGATGCATGCTCTTCTGTGTCATTAGTGCTTCCTCTGCATATGGCTTGGGTAATAGGTGGTGGGTTTTTTCCAAGACTCCTCCCTCCTTACATAAATATGAAATGTTTGCATTGTCCTTCTTTAGGCCTGGTCTCATAATTATGGAGTAGACTATATTTTTTGACTGGTGGCTGCAGTGCAGCATTATTGCTAGGCCATATAGGATTCCTTTTTGGATGCACTTTTTTTGTTCTTCATTCTGGGCTTCCCTGCTGTTAAGGCAAGTCTCCCAGATTGTTCATAAGATAATGTTGCTCAGTGAGTCTGCATCTTACCTGCAAGCTCATGATGTGTCAAAGTATACTGTGTTAAACAGGGGCAAATGTTTGAAGGTTGGCTAGCCTACCATCTGTTGGGAGTGCTGTCAACTTAACATACTCTTTACTGTGCTGCTGATAAGATGCCTATACTGTAATGACATATTAGCACCATTAGAGCTGTTATATTGAAATAATACATCTTAAGTTTTGCAATACTGTACAAGTTGAGATATGTGAGAGAAGATATTGTCTGCACCACCCAAACTAATGAGATACCCTCCTTCCCCCCTCCCCCTCCCACAAGGTACATGCATGCCTCTCGGCATCCAACCTGGAAAACACTAGGCCATCTTGTAGCTTGCTGCCGAGTGATTGTTATACAGACATATGTTTAGGGAGTTATTGAGATTCCTCATTGGTTACCAGGTGTTTGAATCTAGTGCGTCTTTAGTTTGTTTTTGTTAATGAATCTAATTTATGTAATTAAAGTTGTTATTATTATACAAGATCTCACGGTTTCTTTCACTTCTCTCCGCAGGTCTCACCTCCGATGTCTGATACAGTTGATTTCTTCCAGCGACTGTCAACAGAAACTCTCTTCTTTATCTTTTATTATATGGAAGGCACGAAAGCCCAGTACCTTGCTGCTAAAGCTCTTAAAAAACAGTCATGGAGATTCCATACAAAGTACATGATGTGGTTCCAACGGCACGAAGAGCCAAAGGCAATCACAGACGAATATGAACAGGTGAGTTCTTAAGTTTTTTGTATTGGCTAAGTCTTATTGATTAGCATATAATGTTTATGCTTCTCATGTTCTTGTAGGTTTCTTTGGTATCCATTTAAGCTACCCTTCCAATGATTTGATTACCTTACCCTGTGATGACTCTGAGGAACAATGTCCCTACGACCCAGCCTCTGACCAGGCCTCATGGTTGGTAGTTTGGTCAACAAGGCTGTTGGATGCGGCTGCTCGCAGTGTGATGTATGAATCATAGCCTGGTTAATCAGGTACCCTTTAGAAGTATTTATTGAGTTCTCTCTTAATCACCATGAGACTGGCTAGTTATTCCTCATATGTATAGAGGGAGAGTGTTGAAAAATCTTGGGCCTTTGAGGTTGAACGAGTTCTCTGTGTACCTATTGCACCTCTGCTTTTCATTGTGGCTATTTTGCACATCCTGTCATGCCTTCTGATCTCATGTGATGTTATTTCTGTGTGCAGATTTGGAACAAGTCTAATATTATTCAGGTGTAAATTATGATGTATCTCTCGCCTGTGCTCTAGAGAATATAAATTTTAAAATTTATTTGGTCTCAATTGGTAATTTAGATGTTTTATAGAGTGAATCCTAGGAGTAAAGGATCTTTGCATATTCTTAAGGTTAACAATTTCTCCAGCTTTGAATGAGGCTGTTATTCTACAATAATATTCCACTCTAGAGAGCACTAGTGTCTTGAAAAGTACTTTTTAAGACAAGAATGCTCACTAGAGTAGAATATTATTGCACACTAACAGTCCTATTCAGAGCTGGAGAAATTGCTGACCTGAAGAGCATGCAAAGCTCTTTTATTACTAGAATCCACTCAATAAAACATCTAAATTATTGGGACAGCTTAAAAATGTTAAATCTGTATTCCCAAGAGTTCAGGTGGGAGATACACATAATGATTAACACTTGGAAAATAATATAAGGACTGGTTGTGAATCTGTACACAGAAATAACACCACATGAAACCAGACAGCATGACAGGATGTACAAAATAGCTGCACTGAAAAGCAGAGGTTGCAATAGGTACAAAGAGAACTCGATCAACATCTATGGCCCAATGCTTTCCAACATTTGTCCCCTACACACATGGGGTTTAATTGGCTGACCTCTCGCAGTGTTTAAAAGAGAATTTGATAAACACCTTCAAAGTATGCCTAATCAATCAGGGTGACTCATCATCAATGAGCCACATCAAATAACCCGGTTGACAAGACCACTAACCAGGTGGTGTGGTGTGGCTGGAGACTAGGCTGCAGGGACTTTGATCCTTGGAATCATTGTTTGGTATAAGACAGGTAGACTATACTTGCAGTTATAGAAGGAAATGTTACCATATATGGTTCAAAATTTAAATTTAGATGTGCTCTGTTTGCATCTGAAATTAGTGTTGCTTACCTCCTGGAGATTTATAAGATGTGTAGGAGCATGCCCACATCTTTATGCCCTCCCACATGATTATTGAAATTTGGCATGTTAACACAGCAGAAAATTAACACGTTCATTAGTGAAACCAATTTCATTTACAGTATTGTAAATAGCATAAATAAATATGTACTGAATTTAATTAAAATTCTCTGGAAGGGCCAAATGGTGCACCGAGGTATCTCAACACTTACAAGTTACATCAGACCTACTGTAGTGAGTCTTCAAAAGCTACAGGAGACTTGAAGCCAAAGCCCGATGCCCTTCATATAGAGGCATAAGCAGATATGAATATATTAACAAAAAAAAAAGTAATCTAAGCAGGGAGGTTATCGTGAGGTGTTTTCGGGGCTTAGCGTCCCCGTGGCCCGGTCCTCGACCAGGCCTCCTTTTTGTCACACATCCCCAGGACGCAGCTGTCTAACTACCAGGTATCTATTTACTGCTAGGTAAACAGGGGCATCAGCGTGAAATAAACTTTTTGCCCATTTGTCTCCGCCATCACCGGGATAGAACCCGGAACCTCAGGACTACAAATCCAAAGCGCTGTCCACACAGCTGTCAGGCACCCCAGGGAGATTGAAAAAATAGAACAAACTGAAGCTCTCATACCTGACATGAGAAATGCAACTAAAACAAAGCCATACAAGAGAGAGAAGATTTTCAAATACTTTTTTACATATGCAAAATCAAAATAATAAACCTCAACTAGTATAGGACCTATACTTATAAGAGAGGGTTCATACACAAAATAATATAGAAATTAGTGAAATACTGAAAGAATATTTTATTCACCTTGAGCACTAGGTACCTCAAACACCAGTCCTCTGATATGGGAGGCAGATGCTCTACCGACTGTACTATGGATGTAATCCTTCTGTGCCCAAGTGGTAGCCACAGAGATGGGCAATTCCCATCTGGGCAGCAGTTAATTGCCTTGGGAACTTTCTCTTATTAAGGCTAACCCATAGTACATTCAGTAGAGAATGCACCTTCCACATCAGAGGACAGGTGCTCAAGGCACCGAGTACCCAAGGTGAATGAAATGTTACATCCACGGTAGAGTTTATACAGTTTATACTGAAAGAATAGTTTGAGGCTATGCTTAATTCCCCAATAAATATGAAAATTGAAGTTCTGACGACTTCTTCATGAACGATACTCACAGCTTGAACAATATAACGGTTATTAACAAACACAGTAGATGTTGGAAGTGAAATTGACAACATGCCCATGTACATACTTGGCCCCAGGTGCTGACTCCTAATTTCAAGTCAGTCTTGACTCATTTCTCTGGATGTACAGGGATGCTTACTGCCACATAGTTACCCCTTACAGTTCAGGAATTGCCTTAAATATGGTTTAGATCTACATGCAGAGGTCTTAATGGATAATGACTGAGTAGAACTAAAAAATATGCTTTTAAATACAAAAAAAAAGTTAACATTAAAATCCTCATTCATTAACGTTAGACATCCTAACATAAAATATTACAAGGCAGTTCCTCGTATTATCCATTAGTGTGTATGACTCTGGCAGTCATACCATAAATGTCATAATATTAAAGTCAGTAAATACTTTTAAAATATTGAAATGGTGTACAGACATTTACCCTGCTGGAACTTTCCTGTTTTAGTGAGTGATCCATTACTAGTACTGTACAGTATTGTCAAATTAAGGGAGATTCTAATGACATAATGCTACTAATGCTTGACATTTTATGTAACTGATCATTTAATATTATATTTTTTACTTAGATTTAATTCTTTCTTGTATTGCAGGGCACGTACATCTACTTCGACTATGAGAACTGGGGCCAGCGGAAAAAGGAAAATTTTACCTTTGAATATAGGTTTTTGGAAGACCGGGACCTGAACTAAGCATCTGCAAATATCCAGATCTCATGCACACTTCCCTCGGCACATTTTCCACACTGAGGGTGGTTGTGCTACACTGAGTGATAATTATCCCATACAGCAAGCAAGGAGAGGAGGGTGGTGGTGGGGAAGTGGGAGGGACCAAGGAAGGTTGGATGGGAGAACATTTTTCCTGTTTCAGACCAGACCTCGGCCCAACCAGGCCACTACCTTTGTTGTTGTTGTTCGTTGCTTCCCAGTCAAGTCAGTGTCATGACTGCCACAACCACTGTCACTCCATGATATGTGATAGTGTCGTATCTATTCCATAAAGAAATTTTTATGTGAACATTCATTATTTTCTTTTTCAAATAAAGTATATATATATATTTTTAGAGGATAGTTTCCTCTTTTGCACATGCCCCAGACTTGTGTTCACAAATTTGAGGTGTGTATACCTGAGTTGTGTGTTGTACTCCAGTTTCCGAGTACTTTTGCCTAAACTCCACTTTTTGATCTCGTCCTTGAAAGAGGCAAGAGTTTAGATTTGTAAGTTACGTGCATTATGCATTTTTGCTCAAATTTCTGGATGCAGCAGTTTGTGCAGAGGATGATTTGCTGCCAACCAGTATTAACACTTGGGACTGGTTCCGAACGAGAATTCACAAATGTCGAATGCCAAAGATCTGTGATGCTGTTGCCTGCCAGCCATTCTTTTGTCACAGCTCAGCTGAACTTGCCTAACTTATGGATGTTCCATTACAACCAGAAATGATGGACTGGAGGCATTACCGAATCACACCTGGGGATCATTAATACAGATCTGGCTTTGTATGCTCTTTTGATTTCTATCTTCCAGTGGTAATGGTATGTATAACTGTTTCAAAGTTTATTTATGCAATGTAAAACTGATGTTGGAAGGGTTAAATTTTCTTAATCCAATTACAAATTATATTTTTATTTAACTGAAAAGAACATGCAAATTTGAGAAGATAAGTTAAGGTTCACTGGTGTTGGTATGTAATGAATGAAGCACTGCTACCAAAATGAAAATTAGGAGGAAGTCTGGTGGCGTGAATGCATAAGTTGTTAGTTGGTTTAAGTTTTATTATCACTCAGGTTGGAAGGATCAGATACCACCCCACAGATAAAACACATTTACCTAGACACTATTGTGAACAAAATTACAATTGGCAGACATCATGAAGGTTTACTGCTCCTGCAGGGGCAGAAGCCTTTATAAATTGTTGTCTTATTGATGCTTTTCTTCTGGTTATACATATGTTTATGGTGTTTAATTATTACTTTTGCCAATACCAAGAATGCCTGTGCAATAATAACAAATTGTGGTGTGCTTTCATTAGCTTCTATGCATACCTTTTTCTAGCATCTAAGTAACTCTGATGGTCTTGCATAGGTAATATATTCATTTTATAAGGAAATTTTTGTATTACAGTATTATTGCTAAAATTTGTTGTAATATTCACAGTTATAAGTGAAAATTCTAATGACTGGTTGTAAAAGCATTCGACTGCCATTCACAATGATGTATGCTAGTCCTTTATTTTTTTTTTTTTATATATCATAAGTTAGCATAAATTAAATTCATTCCTTACATGTACTTTTGCATGAATATAAGTTTGGTTTTGTGTAAGTTGAGCATAAAGTAGGGGGAGTTATGTGTAGAGGAAGTCGGTCAATTGCTCAAGGCAAAGATGCAGCTGACAGACTTATGGAAGCCCTCAGACATCATAAGTGTCCAGCTAAAGGAGTAGGATCATGTAGATAGTGTACAGTCGTTGTAGACTTTTTATACAGTGTAAATGATATTTTTATACTGTCCTTGACATCCCTACAGAGGTATGCAGTGTATCTGGAAACTGACCACTTTTCCTGGTTGATTTGGAACATCATGTTGGATATAAGGATTAGCAGGTTTACTGTTGTAGTTTACAGCAGTCTTACTACTGTAGACAATAATATCAATGGATATGTGCCACTGCCTCAGTTTCAGAAAGCCTAATTTTCCTACACAGACTACTTGAGAAATTGTGCCTCAGTGAAAAACTGTAAGAGGGTCATATTCATTGATTTTATTGCCTATAGAATTTGCATAATTATTTGTCCATGTTGGCTACTGACAAAGACAACTTTAGTTTTTAAACCAATTATCACTTACAAAAAACTCTTCTTCATGACTCCTTTTAAGGTTTTACAAATTTGTTTTCATATTCAGCAATATTTTCTATAATTGATACCAGTCTGTTGATCATGGCAATTGAGCAGTGGTTGTGGTTTCATGAGATAATGAGGCAAACAACACAGTGGTTAAGAGTAGAAGACAAAGGTGTTTATATAAAAGTGATATAAAATACACTCTATTTCCTGTGGAATGGCAAATTTTTTTATCCTATATACCTTGTGTACTTGTGACTGCAGCAGCACCACTTGTAGGTAAAATGCTAATTTTGTTATAATTTATGGTAATGACTTGCTTTAAGTATATAGATGCATGATTGGGTATAACAAAGGGGGGGGATGAGTTAAGATTGGAAATACATTAACACTTTCGTCCGGCGCAGATCTGGAAGTGTATCCGCAAGATAGCAGGTAAGTTCGTTCCCGATGTCTCGCCGGTCCTTCACCTCCGTGGTACTCTTGTGTTGGACCCGTTGCAGGTCGTGATCGAACTGGGTTCCCACTTTTCATCTTTTAGCTCTGGTTCTCATCTTCTTCAATCTTTTCTTCTTCGTAAACCTGTTCTTGAATCTCGTCCTTTGGATTTCTACACCCATTTTCGACTTTCCTATAATGATCCCCTCTCTCTGAACTTCAGTCTGCCCTGGCCCTCTGCGGTTCCACGGCGGCAGGCTCCGATGGCATTCATTATGAGATGCTTCGTCATCTCCCTCCGTACACATCTCGATATTTACAGTCTGTATAATTGGGTCTGGGAGTTGTTGTCAGTCCCTGAGGACTGGCTTGATGCCGTTATCCTCCCTGTACAGAAACCAAGGTTTCTTGGGACATCCCCTAAGGACTTCCACCCTATTGCCCTCACGAGTTGTCTGCAAACTCTTTGAACGTATGGTTAACGTTCGTCTGATGTGGTTCTTAGAACACCACCACCACCTCTACCCTTCTCAATTTGGTTTTCGCAAGTGCCGCCGTACAACTGATGTTCTGGTGAACTTGGAGGTCTATATTCGTACTGCTTTTGCTGCGAGGACCTCCGTTGTTGCCGTCCTTTTTGACCTAGAAAAGGCTTACGACAAAACCTGGGGATATCATATTCTGTCCCAACTTCATTCTTTTGTCCTTCGTGGTCATCTCCCTCTTTTTCTCCGCAGCTTCCTCTCTCGTTGTTCCTTTAGGGTGAGGCTTGGTGTCACTCTCTCTGCGTCTTTTCAGCAATACGAAGGTGTGCCCCAGGGTAGTGTTCTGAGCACTACTCTTTTTTTTCTGGTTGCCCTCAACGGTCTTCATTCCTCTCTTCCTTCTGGCTTCTTCTCCGCTCTCTATATCAACGATCTTACCCTTTGCTGTCGGGGTGATAATTCGCCTCTCCTTCAACAGGCGCTTCAACTTGCGATTGATGCCGTGTCATCTTGGGCCACCGATCATGGCTTAAGTTCTCTACTTCTAAGACTTGTGCTATGACTTTTACTCAGAAGCATGTCGTTCTTTGTCCCTCTTTGTCGGTTTATGGCCATTCCCTTGTGTACAGGGATTCCGCTAAGCTTTTGGGGTTAATCTTTGACACTCGTTTATCTTGGTCACCCCATATCTCTTACCTCCGAGTTGAATGCTCTAAGTCTCCTACCTTCCTTAAGGTTTTGTCCCATACTTCTTGGGGAGCAGATAGGCGCGCACTCCTCGCTTAACATTCCTCTCTCGTCTTGTCTAAACTCGATTATGGTTGCCCTGCTTACTTATCTGCTTCTCCTACTCTTCGCTGTCTTGATGCTTTGCACCATACTGGGTTGCGCCTCAGCTCTGATGCCTTTCGTTCGACTTCTGCCCTCAGCTTGTATGTTGACACTGGCTTCCTCTCTCTCCAGGACCGCCGTGATCACTATTGTCTTCGCTATCTGGCGTGGTCCTTGCTACATCCTTCCTCTCGCCTCTGTCGTGCTTTTAACTTTTACCCCTCCTGTGGTTTCTGTTCCTCTTAACGATCTCCCTTTTTCTGTCCAGTTATCTCGCTTACAGGTTTCTCTTTCAGTTTGTATTTCTAATGTTTCTCCTCATGTTTCTTCCTTGCCCCCGTGGAGAATCCCCTTCCGAAGATTTGTACATCCTTAACTCACATCACTAAAGCTTTTACCCTCCTACAGTTCTGAAATGCCTTTTCCTTGAGCACTTTTCTTCGCACTCCCGCTCCATTTCCATCTTTACCGATGGGTCTAAGTCTGCAGACGGTGTAGGCTACTCTGTTGTTTTTCCTGACCACACTTATGTGTGTCGCCTACCTCCAGAGACTAGCATCTTCACAGCTGAACTTTATGCTATTCTCTATGCCCTTCGTCTTCTGCTTTCTCGTTGTCAATCTTCCTTCGTGGTTGTCGTTGATTCTTGTAGTGCCCTCATGGCTCTTGGGTCCTTTAATCTGGTCCATCCAGTGGTCGTCGAGATTCAGCATTGGCTGTTTCTTATTTCCAGTAAATTTAAGTTGAGTTTTGCTGGGTTCCCAGCCATATTGGTGTGTGTCTAAATAAGCGTGCAGACGCTGCTGCCAGGGAAGCTTTCCGCTCTTGTCCCATTTCCTGTAACGGTATTCCTTATTCCGACTTTTACCCAGTTATTCATTCCTCCATCCTTACCCGTTGGTAGGTTTGTTGGTCTTATGTTACCAGTAACAAACGGCGTTCTCTTAAAGAGTTGCGTGTCGTCCTGGCCTTCGTCTTACCACCGTAACCTGCGGTGGGAAACAGCTCTGGGGAGGTTGCGTATTGGCCATACACGCTTAACTCACGGTCACTTAATGGAGCGCCGTCCTGCTCCTTATTGTCCACATTGCATTGTCCCTCTTATGGTCATGCATATCCTTGTTGAATGTCCTGACTTCCAGGACGAGCGTGTGTTGTGCTTTCCTACCATCCCTCGCGGTCGCTTGTCCCTCGATATAATTCTTGATGAATCGGATACTTTTGATATATTGGGGGGGGCACTGGTGTTTTGAACTTTATATGCATTTACCCCTGTTGGAAATTCTATTGCGAACAAATTGATACCAAAATGAACTTCGTAGCATGAGAATTGAGGTGAAAAAACTGAAGAGTATGCATTTTATTGCTGTTGCGCACTCACTGGTAATGCTCGCCCAATTTTTGGGCTTGGTGCGGGTGGCAAGTCTGGCTTTTGGACCTTATATGCATATACCCTTGTAGGGAATTCTATTGTGAACAATGATACCAAAATGAACGACGTACAATGAAAATTGAGGTGAGAAAACTGAAGAGTACACACATTACTGTGTGGCCGCTCACTCACACAAAATGCTTAGCGCACCTTGGGGTAGGCTGGGGCGCGCACACTGAGAATGCGAAAATTTTAATGCAAAATAGAACACCACAATGTATATAAATTGGGTTAGTTTAGTTTTGGGAAGGACCTGGGTAAGTATTGCTTTGGAAACAGTTGTTGATTTGTGGAACAAATTACCAGGTAACAAGTCATGCGATCACTGGATTGCTTCAAGCATTGGTTAAGTATATATTGAATGAGTTTGCTTATAAATAGCTCCCTTGTGTAAGCCAATAGGCCTTTAGCAGAGTCCTTTATTCTCATGTAATTTCCACACTCAAAGTGAGAAGAATTGCCGAGATAGACATTATTTTATTGAAGATTACATCTTGTTTGATGGTTATGTCAAATCCTGACATTTATCTAAAGAAATCTAACTTCTTATATTAAAAAAAAGTTAGTGGGGGCTGTGAGCACCTTTTGTTTGTTATATTCAGGAATATAAACTGTTTAATGTCTCCGGTCATAACCAGTCTCCGTGGTATAGTGGTAAGACACTCGCCTGGCGTTCCGCGAGCGCTTTGTCCTGGGTTCGTATCCTGGCCAGGGAGGATTTGCTGGGTGCAAATCCTTAACTGTAGCCTCTGTTTAACTAACAGTAAAATTGGTACTTTGTTGTAAAAACGATTCTTCATGGGGGACCATAGTCCATTCCAGGGACCATAGGATTAAGGACTTGCCTGAAACGCTACGTGTACTAGTGGCTATATAAGAATGTAAGAACTCTTGTATATATATCTCAAAAAAAAAAAAAATGTAATTTCAATATCTATTTCTGATGGGCTGAGCTACAGCACTAGAACTTTCAAATCTTGAAACATTAAACCAGACTGCCGAGTCGCCCAAGCCTACTGAAAGCTAGGAGAATTTGGCACAGGCTAAGAAGCGATGGGAAGCTTTGGTATCAGATCCCTCATGGCTCTCGGGTCCTTTAATCCGGTTCATCCAGGGGTTGTTGAGATCCAGCATTGGCTGTTTCTCGTTCACAGTAAATTTAAGTTGGTTGAGTTTTGTTGGGTTCCCAGCCATATTGGTGTCAATTTAAATGAGCGTGCGGATGCTGCCGCCAAGGAAGCTGTCCGCTCTTGTCCCATCTCTCGTAAAGGTATTCCATATTTCGACTTTTACCCGGTTATCCATTCCTCCATCCTTACCCGTTGGCAGGCTTCTTGGTCGTCTGTTACTGGTAACAAACTACGTACTCTTAAATGTTGTTTCCTCGTGGCTGTCCTACTACCACCGTAACCGACGATGGGAAATGGCTCTGGCGAGGGTGCGTATTGGCCATACTCGCTTAACCCATAGTCACTTAATGGAGCACTGCCCTGCTCCTTATTGTCCTAATTGCATTGTCCCTCTTATGGTCGTGCATATCCTTCTTGAATGTCCTGACTTCCAGTGCGAGCGTGTGACTTGCTTTCCGACCGCCCCTCGCGGTCACCTGTCCCTCAATAGAATTCTTGGTGACTCGGATACTTTTGATATCGTTCGCCTAATGCGTTTTTGTTCTCGTTTTGGCATCCTTGGTGATATTTAGCGCCCTCTGATTATTCCGCACATTTGATGGTGCTACATAGCCTTCCCAGTTTGGTGCCTTCTTTTGATAATTAATTAATTACTTGGTATCAGATCTAACCAAAATCAAGAAAGTATCAACACATCAAAACAAGCAACTGCTTGAAAGGACATTTTCTGGTGTTTTTTCTGAGATTTGAGTTGATCTCTGTTCTGCAAGCTTCCTTTGGTTCATAGAGACCAAAATTCTACTATTGCCAAAATTTTGGAGGCTTGGTACAATTCTTGAGGTTTTGCAGTCCCAGTGCTATGGTTTGGGAAACTACTGTGGGAACCCTTCCAGAAATGAATTTGGAAAAGAAATTGCACATAATTTACAGAAAATTCTCAACTCATTCTTACAATATTTTCCAGCTATGAAGCAAAATATGTATGATAACAAACGGGCAGTATAGCCCGATAGCAATTACATTTTTTTTTCCATGTGTTCACTGGAAAACAATACCACACAAGTAAAAAAATAAAACTAATTTTCCTACTGATATTGGGCAGTGTAGAACCCACAAAGTCAGTTTGGTATACAACATACTGCAGTACAGTATTGTATTCCATATTCATGCCGTTGCAAGTACTGTATCCCAATTTCTACCAACAATGCAGTATTGCATCCCAGATTTCTAACTATAATGCAGTATTCCATTCCAGATTACCAACAATGCAGGATTGCGTCCCAAATTAAAAACCCCATTCGAGTTAGCCAAATTTCTTGCCAGGAATGTAACAAAATTAACAACCTTTTTCATGAAGTTAAACCTTTAACGTTTTCAGATGAAGACGTTTGTTCAAATCACCAGTGTGTTCTGAAGAATGTACTGTGTCTATTTCAATACCATGTCTGCTAATTAAACAGGAAGGGAGAAATAGCCCTCTATTGATACAACATTGGAGTTTAGAGGGAATAGAGTCCACAAGTAACCATCCAGCAGGATTTCATACTAGGTATGAAAACAGGATCATGAAGATAGTGGTAGGTGTTATTTACAACCCTTCATTAACTATGGTAAGGTTATGGAAACAATTCGATAAATGCAATGAAACACTCCTGACAGTAATGGAAATGGCAGTCATGGTGGCAAGGTGAGCCACAGCAAAGATCCCAATACTTGGAGATTTTAACTACAAGGGAAATAGACTGGTCAACAAGAGATCCTCGTGAGAAAGATGCAAGATTTGCAGATGCTGTAAACACTTCCTGTGGCAGCATATTAAAAGACCTGACTAGAGAAAGAGGTGATGATTTATCAGCTACCCTAGACCTGGCATTTACCCAAAATAATAATAATGCAGAGATCTTAAAATATAAGGTACAATTAGGACCCAGTAATCACAGTATTATTGTGATTAAACTGTAGAACTGAAAGCATGTGTTGGAAGCAATAAAGAACAAGGGACTACAGGATGGTTAGGGATTATCCACATGAGGTTCAGTAGGAGACTGAAATGGGTTAAGTAAGGAAATGTAACTACAAAACTCAACACAAATGCAAAGAAGCAATGGAACTTCATACTACTCAGGAGGGAAGTGGATGAAAGGAGAACAAATAAATGATTAAACAGTGGAGGGGGAAAAAAAGGCATGAGAAAAGTATAGCAACAGTAAGTAGAGGCAAGTAGGTAGGCAACAAAAAAAATAAAAAAAGGCCAGGAATAGGTACACCAGAATAAGGAAGGAAGCAATATAAAAATTTCAGTCTGGCAAAAGTCAAGAGCCACCCTAGGTTGTTGCACAGCCATGTAAGGAGGAAGACTGGTAGATGATGATGTTGACCAGACCACACACTAGAAGGTGAAGGGACGACGACGTTTCAGTCCGTCCTGGACCATTCTCAAGTCGATTCTCACAATCTTACAACAGAGAGACAGAGAGAGAGAGACATATCAGAGAGAAAAGAGGTGGTTATATATATTACTTCCATGCTAGACATTGAAGCTAAGGTAAGTTATGGACGGATCCTCGATTCGGAAAAGTAGATTCTCACAATCGACTTGAGAATGGTCCAGGATGGACCGAAACGTCGTTGTCCCTTCACTTTCTAGTGTGTGGTCTGGTCAACATACTTTAGCCACGTTATTGTGACTCATCGCCTGCATAGGAGATGATGTGATCAGACTGGGAACAGGGAGGAACATTCTTGGAGAATGATGAAGTGTGTGAAGAACTCAACAAGAGGTTCCAGGTCTACAAACCAGAATCAGATTGGTGTCCAAGGAGGGGTAACAACACTAAATAGAATTGAAGTTAATGTAGTAGTAGAGAGATTCCTGTAGAAACTGGATGTAGTAAAACCAGTAGGACTGGACCAGGTATCACCATGGTTACTAAAGGACGCTGCAGGAATCTTGAGTTACCCATTAACTAGTGTTGAGCATTACACTCGAGATGGGAGAGCTACTGGATATTTGGAAAAAGGCAAATGTAGTCCCAATATTCAAGAAAGGTGAATCAAGGTTTTTAGGGAATTTAGAGATGGACGATATATTTTAGCATAATTGGAACATTTACTTTCGAAGCATTGTTGATGCATTTTAGCATCCTCTGAATGCTAAAGTATTAAAGGGAAATAAATGTCAAAATTCATAATTGAGTTTTATTTTTTGATAACCAACACAATTTATTGCTGCTTAACTTTTAACAATTTGCAAATTATGATAAGAACCATAAAATATAATACAGAATATGCATTCATGTAGTATATTTGTGTGATTATTTGATATTCATATGGCAGCTAAACAACTTGTGTCATTGGATTTTTAAAATTGTAAAAATTGGAGTTATACGTAAAATTACATTTTGGAATTCACCATAAGATGGAATAATTTGTGACCTGGGCCCATTTTGGTACTACAGTATAATCTATTAATTGCAACCTCTGTAGGTACCAAAAAAAGTAAATGCACCAGCAAATACTTGTATGATGTACTGTACTTCTAATTTGCTTTCAGTTACTGTTTCCAACGACTTTAGTTTTGCAATTTTTTTTCAGTAATTCTGTTACTATATGTGCTACAGTATTATTACATCAGAATCTGAGTAAACTTTGCATATTGTACAACTGGTGTCAATATTAATTTTACAATGATAAAGAAGTCATGATCTAGACTTGGTGAGGAGATCTGCGACTGGTAGAAGTTGGAATATATGTGCACCTAAAACATGACAATCTACTAATAAAGGTGTTGGTGCTAGTTGAAGACGTAAAGACTGTGGTGTGACTAAGTCAAGTTTGTCACCGAGCATCGGGCAAGCCTGACAATGGCAAGATATCAAGGCACAGAAACATGAATTAAAATTTGAGCAGACGATGTATACTGTAGAGTAAGTGTACAATGCAGTATATCCAAAAGTGACCCCAAGTGCAATGTTTTAGACAATCTTGGAGAATGGCTCCATCAGCAATGCAGTGAAGGTATTCTCACATCTAGTACTATGCAAATTGAATGAAGTTAGATATAATCACAAATAATCAAATGGGGCACACTGAATATTCCAAGGTATAGATCCCCCTTCCCCAGAGAAAAAGGTAGGAGATGAAGAGCTGAATACCTGCACACACAAATGTTGAAAATTGGGATTATCAACAAGAGAAGAGCAAGGATGTTTTCAACAGCAACAGCTACTGAAAAACAATGGGTCCCGAGTGAGTCATTACTTGGTTCGGAGCTACCTAACACCATTTTTCTATTGACAACTTTGTAGTTATTCTTCCTTTTCTTGTCAGTCTGCCATCCTCTCACAAGTCTCGACATTATAAATATGCTAGACATTACTCGCATAATACTTTTGTGATACAGTACTTTAAAGTGCTGGTACACTTACCTAAATTTCAGATGGTTAACATTTTGTGACAAAACATATACAGGTACAATACTGTATAGTCCTGAGAACGATTGGACAGCTCTTTCATTTCACCTTGCTATTTATAATTAAATACTATACTCCCCTCCTTTTCCAGCCATATATATATATATATATATACTGTTCCTAAATGACTTGTATGGAATATGAGGTTGAGCTTTAAGTAGGATATAATACAGTAAGAAATTACCTGTCATTCAACTCCCTAAACGTTCCATACGACTTCACTTGAGTATTGGCAACCTGACATGATTATAATGTAGATAAATATTTCTTAGTTTTGGAAGTAATGATAAATATTTTATTCCATGTATAGTTTTTGGCATGATTTTTTTTTTTTATAAATTTAATCTATTATAAAGTGTATTTAATAATTTAAGAAGTACTGTGGTATAATTGTAGACTTATTCTCTTTATACAATGTGTAATTATATAAATAGTTAATTATTATTTAGCCTTACTCAGACTGGCTAATCTTTTGTATTACTGGTGTCCAAATGGACACCAGTATTTTTGTATTTGATTAAGTCATTTATTTAAAAATATCTACCTCCAACATTAGTTGTATGTCACAGGAAATTACCATAAATATGTAGCTATACAACAGTGTAATTCAAACGAATTTTCATAAAATGACCGATTCCATAACAAAAATTAATTAGGAATTGTCCAACCCATATCCATGTTCTCTCTTGTATCTACAAAATATTGGCTAGATAAAAAAAACAAAAAAGTTTCCTACAGATCACATTCCAACATGACTCTCTAAAGCTTGATTAAAGTGAAGAAGATGATGCACATTATTTATGCCATTAATACATTCTCATGATACTTTATGAATGGGCAGCTGGTCAGCATACACAAATTGTTTAGCACTTGAAGTCTTCTCCACATCATTGGTCCCATTACTGAAAGAACAAAAGCTAATCTGATAAAGTATGTTCAAGACTATTATTATTTTTGCATGGGTTATTTATATATTATGATATCAATACCTCCATGTACACACAAGCTGGATATATAACAAAGAAGAGAGGAACAAAATTGGAAAACAACAACTGAAACGGTCAGGCAGAGCGATATTCTAGTACCGAATGTAATAGAGGCTCTTCCCAGCCTTCCTTGGCATCACAGACTACCACGCAGCACTCTTGTTAATGTCCAGTTGGCCTATGTAGCCACCAGGTGGCAACACCAAACAAAAACAGTTTTCCAAAAGTGCCTCCTCACAGAATCTGACACAAAGGCATGCTGCAGACGGGGAGCAGTAGGTAATAAGGGAAGGGGGGGCAATGCAACCAAGTGACTCTCAGAATGACACTTCACATACAGTTCTGTGCAATCAAATTTTCTTTGCCCTCTCAGTTGGTTGCTCACCAAGGTTAGTACCAGCCATGGTACACGGCTGGGCTGGTTAACTGCCTGTATAAGGGAGCACTCCTTGGTAATCTCTGATGCCAAACAGGGCTTGGAGTTTAATTTTTGTTTTTCTAGTGATAAACCTAGCTAGATAGAATCCTCCAATGCTGCCTGGCACCAATATAACTCTGCAGGAAGTGCTTGAAATGTTACCTTCCAAACTGGCACCAGTGTTGCTGCCTGACTGCATGATACAGTTCCTACTAAGACAGCTGGACCTTACTTTCGCAACTATAGTAACAGTGCAACAGCTCACAAATGGTCTTCATTTTGACAGACAAGCAGTGTCTTAAATCCCCTCATGGAAAACTGTCTACTGTAATAGTAAATCACTATTACACTACTGTAATAGTGAGATTTTCCAAAAAAGTTATAACCTATAGTTACTATGGATTGAATGTACAAAAATATATACTATTGTACTACTGGAATTCTAAAGAAAACAATGAGAAACAGACTAACCATGAACCAAACCTGTCCTAGGCCTAAATAATCAATCCTAAGCTTTAAGAACATAATATGTAAGTGGAAGATACTTGAGGGCCTAGTATCAAATTTGCACGGTGAAACAACATACTGGAGTGAATAATCTGGTAGGAAAAGCAAAACAGACCTGGTGAAAAGTAGAGGTTCCACAGCCACTGTATAAACTTCAGATGTCCATGGCTGTTCATTATCCTACCAACACACTAAGAAATATTATTGGAAAAAGTAAATGTGTTCAAGAAACAGTTAGACATGTTTCTGCAAGACGTGCTGGACCAACTGGGTTCTCATGGATATGTGGGCATGCAGGCTGCTCCAAGCAACAGCCTGTTGCACCAAGTTATCACAAGTCAAGCCATGGTTTCTAGCTGTTGAGCCACAAGAGCTAGAAACCATGGCTGAGCTGACTACCAAGGAGCCAGAAGGATCACCATGCCTGATTATATCTCCAACCTGGACAACAACTGAACTGGGGGAAGACATAGGAACCCCACCTCGAGCAGTCCAACCAAAAGGCAGCCACCGCGAGAGCTTCAACCTCGGGAAATGGAGCCACATGAGAGGGAACTCGCTGGTTCCACACCCACATGAAGAGATCTACCTCTGGGAAAAACCTGAGCCAAACCAGCCAGTCGCCCAAATAGGCCAAGACATGAACTCCCAAGAGATGTAGCAGGGTCACAACTACCTGCATTAATCTGGTAAAAATCCACGAATCCAGAATCAAACCTAATCCCACACGAAACACTAACCAGTCCCAAAACCTCGGGTGAATAGTGACATGTCAGTATGAATCCCCTGTGGTCCAGGGACACCATCCAGGAATCTGCCTGGAACACCAGGTAAACCTAAGTTACAGTGCTCATGTACAGAAGGTTGTACAGTAAATGAAGCCGTTCAATCCAAAGAGGTCACAAATGTAACATAGGTCTGCCAAGTCCTGCTTTGGGACCAGGAACAACCAGGACATCTAATGAAGAGAAAAAGTTAACTCATCCAAGCCCCAGTTTGAACCATGTTGCAATGTGCGCATGGAGCCAACGTCACGGCTCCTCACATTGAACCCAAAAGAGGGGGTGGTTGGACTAACTAACAAAGATACTGGGAAATGACCCAAAAGGCCCATATCTAAAGATAACTTTTTGTGTGATAAATTCTATGCGAGTGCATTATCATCTGAATGCATCAGCAGCCTCACTTGCAGTTCTAATGCAGAGTTTCCACAATAGGTACCATAATTTTTGGATGACAGACTGCAACAAATCCCCTTTGAAACAATGCATATTTTTCAGATGTTTAAAATCAAAGGGAAAGGAATGTAAACCTGTTGCATCATAGGGTCTTTCATAAAAACACTAAATACCGTGTAAACTTACCTCAGGTTTTTTAATCCAACTTTACTACGTCCACCACACTTGGGAAGGTCAAGAATGTAGTCTGTTAGTTCAACATTTCTGACAGAGCCAAAGAACTCTGTGACCAAAACTTCATTAGGGTCTCGTTTGTAGAGATCTTGTCTGACACCCACAGTAGATATGCAAACACGTTTTGGGCACACCTGAAGCTAAAAAAAACAAAATATTTAATGGATTAACTTACTACAATACTGTAATGCTTGAACGAAGGCGAAGGAAAGACCCAATATATGTATAAATGTATTAAAAACAAAATTTTAGATTTTTTTTTCCTGAAAATTTTAGGGAAAATTTCTTACAATCTTTTTCAAGGTATTATCTACAATGTCATTTTGGTCAAAAACATTTACAGTCGTTCCCGACTGTAAATGTTCTGGGCTCCGTTGGCCACTCAAGCCAATCAGCAATGTGAAGAATCTTTACAATCCTTTTATTTTCCCCAAGTTATTTGAGGGCTATAACTATAAATTTGGTGTAAAAATGTTAGGTAAGGTAAAAACAAAATTGTATTTATAATAAATTTTGCTCCTCTCTGTGCATTCTTGAACATAAACATAATGGGTTACTTAGAGGATGAAGCGGCTTGCAAGGTAACCACAAACACGGATCCTCAGCAGCCAATAAGAGTGACACAGGTAATCCCAAACCACCAATGGTATTCGAGTTGCAACTTTCTGCAACCTACAGTATTCATTGTTGAAAACTTCCCCACAAAGCTCTGGTAGATCACCCTTTCGGTACTTCTTCGTCATTCACACTTAAGACTCTTCGTACCTGCAAAATAATCTAATTTCTCAACAGTCAACCACACCATGTCTTCTCCGTCTGACAGTTCAAGGTGCAGTGCTGCCATGGGCAGTTGGCCTGCACCACTGAGGTACCTCCAGCATGTCGTGTGACCCCAGGTCACTTCCTCATTGGTCAACCCTGTTTGAAAGTTCCCAACCATCTTGCATTCTCGCATCCAGGGAACCTGGTGTCATCATCCAGCCCAAATCCTTGGTGCCAATCTCTCTGCACCAGTGCCTGCTGCCCGCCATGTTCGAAAACTGACTAGGCTTCTCCTACCCTGCAGAAACTGAAAATTTAATAAAACTTCAGGCTTTCTGCCTCCCTGTAAGCATAATTCAAATGAACATGGAGCTGGCTTACATATACAGTACATTTAATAAGAGAATGACTTTTACTAAGTAGGAGAGGTGTGTAAATGTATGGCACACCATTATCCATATAGTACTTTATTACAAAAATCATAGAAATAGAGAACTGAAAGTAGTGAAATGCCACATACTGTGCATCACCTCAGTTGTTCCCAGAGTTTACACCATTGCCATTCCAAGATGGTTCCTAAAAATGAGGTTGCAGACACAGTTTCAGCCTACTAAAGCAAGACTAATAGGTGACACTCAATGAGGCAAGGGAACCATGTGGGGTGAGGATCAACCATCAATCCACTACCCAAGTAAAATATTGATAAAGACATTAAGGCATAAAAAACCAACATCCCTGAAAAAAGATTAACACGGCCGAACAATCTGACCGACAGTTGCAACAGGCAAACTACTACTGCCCCATTTCTCTCATTCATCACCAGGTGCCAGCCCAGATCACCCAGGATCACAGCCTGGGTGACAGTAATACCCTCCTTACTATTTGGCCTGGTGACCCTGGCCCCTCACCAGTTCTACCTGGAACTGGAACATTATTTTTTAGGTAAGACATTTGACTTTATTTAGTACTTTATCAAGCACTTGGCAATTGCTTCATGTTTCTTGAGAGCGTTTACCAATTGCAAAGTCTCTCTCTCGCAGCCTTGTTTCACTTCAGTTATAGTTTCAGAGCTCTCTTCCTTGGTGCTGTCAGTGAACTGTTACACTATTAGTTCCCTTTTCTGAAATGGTATGGTAGTCTTTCAGGAATTTGTTGCTGAATTGAGGCCTGCTGAATGAGAGGTAAAGTAGTTAGTGTTTTGGCATACTACCACTGTGCAGACGAGTCACAATAATGTGGCTGAAGGAAAGAAAACAAAAAACAAATACAACTAAACAAAAAACTTTTGTCTGCAAGCAGTGCAATTAGCCTCCCGTAGCCATTGCCATCGGCTCAATATTACCCCAAACATCAGTTTAACCATTACCCACACTAACCAGTCTAGCCAATGCACTGACATAACTATACAACACACAAACCTAACAAATGACCCGTATCTCATGCCATCCCATGGTAAATGTAAATGGATGGTAATGCACCTGAAATGGTGCCAGTTTTTTTTAATAATGCCCAAGAAGACAACTAAGGCTTTGTTTTTTTTTAATATGACATATGATTGCTAGAAGTCTCTAGTGTCGAATGACAATCACAATGTCATTCATAATTCATAGCCACAAGTGAACCATGCCTGTTGACTCTGTAGGTCAGTTAGAGCACACTGACCAGTATCCATGTGTGAGAGAGGTTTCTTTACCTCATTTATCTGCTGGTTGGGTCACTACATCTGCCCCACCAAGTTTTGAGCCTATCTTCCCTACTAACAACATTCCTGGAGGTTCCACAGCTTATAGTCCCATGTGACCTCTCTCACTCCTCCTGCTGGGGCACTAACTACACTAACACTTTCCCGTCCCCACCGCACGCGCCCTAGACTACCTCAAGGTGCGACGAGCGTTGGCCATGAGCATGCGCCCAGACTCAAATATGTATACCACTCTTTTCAATTTTCTCATCTCAATTTTCATCTTACAGCATTAATTTTGATATCTTTTTGTTTGCAATGGAATTCCCTACAGGGATATATACATATAAAGTCCAAAAGCCCAGCGTGCCACCCGCGCCAAATTCACAAATCAGCTGAGGGTTACCCGTGAGCCCTTTGTGGGATTCTCACCTCAACTAGGCCTCTGTTAGTCGTTATCGTATCGCCCTCCTCCTCCTCCCCTCGGAGCGACACTCCGCAGGGCTGACCTTAAGGCGATCCAACCAATGTCTTGCAAACAGCAGCCGGAGGGGTTATCAATTTGTTAACAACAGAATTCCCTACAGGGCTATATGCATATAATGTCCAAAATCCATGCCCACCCCCACAGCAAGGGTGAAAGTCAGCCAAGCATTAGCCGTGAGCGAGCATGCATTTGCACACCCGCTACACCTTCACACAAATGTGTACTGTAAAATCGTTTTAGTTTGATAATGTCAATTTTCTTGTTAGGACGTTCATTTTGGTATAAATGTGTTCGCAATAGAATGCTCTACAGGGATATATGTATATGAAGTCCAAGAGCCCGGCGATCGGATAAAAAAATGTAATTTTAACAAATATATTAAAATCGGACATCATAGATGTCTTTCCCGAACATCCGCGGAGTTAGTTACAGACGTCATATACATCCCTCCCGAACATCCGCAGAGTTAATTACGGATGTCATGTGTCCCTCCGGAACAAAAGTATTAATAGAAGATTTGCTACAATGGTTAGGGAAAAACTTGTGAATTTTTTCTCAATGGTAACATATAATGAATTATTTTTATTTTATTAGATTGTAACAATTTGGCACCATAGCATTTAGTATTAAGCATGTTCATACAGGGTGCCACTTACATGTAGACATTGTCTGGCTTTGCACTGGCATATCCAAGACATGTTATCTTGAGGTTATCTTGAGATGGTTTCAGGGCTTTTAGTGTCCCCGCGGCTCGGTCCTCGACCAAACCTCCACCCCCAGGAAGCAGCCCGTGACAGCTGACTAACACCCAGGTACCTATTTTACTGCTAGGTAACAGGGGCATAGGGTGAAAGAAACTCTGCCCATTGTTTCTCGCCGGCACCCGGGACCACAGGATCACAAGTCCAGTGTGCTGTCCAGTGTGCTGTCCGCTCGGCCGACCGGCACCCCTCTGATGTGTTACAGTTACAGTACAGACATATTTTCCCTATTTACTTAGCAATTAATTTTTGCCACCTCTATTTTTATATAAGTTTATTCCAACACAAAGCTTCTTCATCTTATGGCATTCTTGTGTTTAAGTTTTGTGCCCGAGGTATGAAAGTGAATAAAGCTAATTTTGGTTTAGTACATCTTTGTTTAAATGTACCAGTGGAACACATCAGTAGAGTTCTACGGACCGTGGGTTGTACAGAGAAGAGAGAATTGTCCACACCATTAACTAGGTGGAGCCTGGCTTCTATACAAAGCAAAAGCTGAATGTAAAATGACAAATAAGCAATACATACAAATTGTGCTAGGGTCCTGTCACTATTGGGAGTGACCCTCTCCAGAAACTCCAGAGCGTAGTAGGTAAAGCGATCAATGATGTAAACTCCAATTGCAGGATCCACATGATGCTGCAAGGAAGAAAATAAAATTAACCAGTCATATGACTGAGGGAGATGTTCCCACTCATCACAGTGCACTATATCTTATGACACAAACATTTAGGAAATTATCTTAATTAAAACACTTTCACCTGCTATTCCCAATAAAACTAATATATTCTTAGCAACTTCCACCACAGGGTTGCAAAGCCTCCCAAGCATCTGGTGAAGCACAGAAAGGGAAGCCTGAACAAGTTTTGAGATCTGCAACAAGGACTTTACCCCGAATAAAAAGATCGGAGCTTCAACGACAAGTCAAGAGAACTCCATAGAAAAGCTCATGAGGTGAGAAGGATCAGAGGGGATCTGATCACTACATACAAAATACAGAGAAGAATAGTATACACAGTGGACATAGTCAGCCTTCTTTCTGACTGAGGGAAAATAGGATGAAACCAAGGGAAGAAACTGGAAATGCAAATGAGCCAGAGAGAAATGCAAAATACTCTAACAAAATAAGGATGAAAACATGTGAAACCTACTGAAAGTAGTAGTGGAAGCCATCTCCATACACTGAGTTAACTGATACAAACTTGTGATGGACAGAGTTAACTGGTACAAACTTGTGATGGACAGAGTTAACTTACAGAGAGTGAATCTTCTCCAACTAAGCTGGAAGCAATGGCCAGAATGTTGGGAGAATAGAAGTGTTCATACATGGACGCTGCTTGGCACGTGTCAATGATGAAGAGAATTTCATTGTACCTGTAATGTTATCACCACTGACAATTATACTTATTTTGATACAGTAATAATATTTTCAATAAACATTCTTTATATGGAAAATAATTATATGCTGATACAATATTGATTTAGTTTGCTTTGCATTTAAGAGTTGCACTGCAAATATTTTAATGTTTTTATTATACAAAGCTATTACTAAGCAAAAAGTATAAACATCATAACTGTTCCTTACTTTTGTGGAATGACAGACATTTAAGAAATGCTGGAAAGGTATTATGGAATAATAATAATAATAATAATAATAATAAGTAGTAGTAGTAGTAGTAGTATAGTTGAAGTAGTAGTAGTTGAAGTAGTTGTAGTAGTAGTTGAAGTAGTTGTAGTAGTAGTTGAAGTAGTAGTTGAAGTAGTTGAAGTGGTAGTAGTAGTAGTTGAAGTAGTAGTAGTTGTATTACTGGTAGTAATAGTTGTAGAAGAAGTAGTTTTAGTAGTAATTGTTGTTGCTGTTAATCTCCTCTCACACCTCTATTTTCCTGGAATAGCGGGATCTTTACGCTGAGAACTGGCCAACTTCTGGGACTGGCTGAAGGCCACTTACGGAGAGCATCAGGCATGGTCAAACTTCCCACCCTTACCTCCTATGTTGGCATAGATCAAAGTAACTATAGAGTACCTTCCATCGACACTTTGATCCACTGAGGGAGTGTCAGCTGGGCATTTTTGATACGATAAAATGATCTGAAAACCTAGGCACCTCTGTCAGGGTTGAGGTGGTCCTACGATTAATATATATATATATATATATATACTGTACTTATTTTCCTCTAACTGTTACACTCAATATCAAATACCAACATGAATTATGTACTGTATACCTCTTCTTCTGCCACATTTGTTCAAATGCATCAGCAAGCTCTACATTAGTAATTTCCTCTGAATCTTGAAACTTAAGGAAGCCATCTCCTCCATGGCCTGTCATATATATCAAGATATTAGACCCATCATCAGTTAACAATCTCTTTGATCTTGGTGTGCTTGGAGTTAGTCTACCAGTTAGCAGCCTCACAAAGTTTTCCACAGTTACCTGAAAATTTAATGCAACAAAATCCTTATGCATTTCTTGCAATTTATTATAATTATGTCACATAAAACTGATCATTTTCAACAACAAGGCTTTACGATGAATATTACAGTAGTGCCAGAAAAATTATTTATTAATCAATGGAAAAATTATGCGTCTTCTATAATATTTTCTTCTCTCTGCTGACAGGTAAAGAATTAATAGCTATCTTAGCTTTGCTCCTAGGTGAAGAGAGATGTAAGGAAACATTTTTTACATGTGTTGTTACTTGAATATTAACATACTGTATCTAGAAACTAAAGAATAAACAAATTTGGGAGTATGATAAACAAACAAGATACACCCATTATACATCTTACAACAGAGCAGACCTAATAATAATGTTGAGAACAGATATAATACATACCTCATAGCCCCTATAATCAACTTCAACATCTTCTCCATATACATTAATGTGCTGATGAGCATTGTTGAAGACGGTAGCAGGACGTGGGTTGCGTGGGTTACATGCCATATCATCAGCCACCATCAAGATGATCTGACTAATTTGAGTAGGAGCTCATTAATAAACAATGATGATTATGGATGAAAAAACAGTTAAATGTAATTAAATGCCTCGTTCTGATTAGGGCTCAGTGGCTCCCTGTAGTAGTACCTCTGCCCCCTGTGGAGCTACCTCACTGAGGTAGCTCCACACATATACACACACTCACCCACACCCACACACACACACACACACACGAGCAAGGAGAAGTCCCTCTACTAAGAGAGGTGGTGGTAAACCGAACAACATTGGAAGAATTTGAGCTTCCCAGAGATGGTCAAAACGAATCTTTTGGAGCTGAATGTGACAGTCTGTTGAGCCTGACAGAATCTCACCATTGATACTAAAAGAGGGTGCAGAAGCACTGTGTGTATGTGCCACTCTCTATGGTCTATAACAGGTTAATGAAAACAGGAAACCTACCAGAAAGTTGGAAGACATCTAATGTAATCCCAGTATGCAAAAAGTGTGACAGGCAAGAGGTACTGAACTACATGCCAGTTTCCCTAACCTGTATACCATGCAAGGTGATGGAGAAAATCGTGAGGAAGAAGTTCATAGAACATCTGGAGAGGAGCTTTGTATCACATCAACAGCATGGGTTCAGGGATTGCAAATTGTGCCTCACAGGTTTAATAGAATTATATGACCAGGCAACAAAAATAAGACAAGAAAGAGAAGGGAGAGCAGCCTGCATTTTCTTAGACCATCAGAAAGCCATTGACACAGTACCCCCATAAGAGACTTACAGAAGTTGAAGAAACTGGCAGAATTATCAGGTAAGGTGCTCCAGTGGATATGGTAGTATCAACGCTACAGAAAATGAGTTAATGCGAGGGGGAGACCTCAGAGTGGCGAGATGTCACCAGCGGAGTCCCACAAGGCTCTGCACTTGGGACCCATCCTGTTTCTGATACAATGTGCAGTATATGTAAATGATCTACCAGACGGTATAGACTCATTCCTCTCAATGTTTGCTGGCGATGCAAAAACTATGAGATGAATCAAGACAGGAGGGGGGGGAGATAGACAGACAAGATAACCTGGACAAACTGGAGGAATGATCTGGAAAATGGTTACACACTGAAGTTTAACTCATGTAAGTGTAAAGTAATGAAATTAGGTGAAGGGTGGAGGATGAACAGAAGTTACCATCTGGGAGGCTAAATCCTTCAAGTCAAGTTGAGAGAAAGATCTAGGGGTCGATATCATGCCGAACTTGTCCCCAGAGGCCCACATCGAAAGGATATCATCAGCAGCATATGCTTGATAGGCCAACATAGGAACTGCCTTTAGAAACATGTGTAAGGAATCATTCAGAACCCTGTACACCATGTATGTCAGATCAATCCTGGAATCTGCAGCACTAGCCTGGAGTTCATACCTAATTAAATGCAAGACAAATTTAGAGAGGATTCAGAGGTATGCAACCAGACTAGTCCCAGAGCCGAGGGGTACAAGTTACGACGAAACGCTAAGGGAATCAAATCTCACGTCCGTAGAAGATAGAAGAATTAGGGAAGACTTGATCATCACCTACAAAATTTTCAGGAATTGACAGGGTGGACAAAGATGAACTATTTAGCATGGGCAGAACACGCACAAGGAGATAAAGGTGGAAACTTGGTACTCAAATGAGCTACACACACATTAGCATATTAGAAAGAATTTTTTCAGCATCAGGGTAGTTAATAAATGGAATGCACTAGGCAGTGATGTGGTTATCTTCTTGGGGTTATCGTGAGATGATTTTGGGGCTTTTTAGTGTCCCCGCGGCCCGGTCCTCGACCAGGCTTCCACCCCCAGGAAGCAGCCCGTGACAGCTGACTAACACCCAGGTACCTATTTTACTGCTAGGTAACAGGGGCATAGGGTGAAAGAAACTCTGCCCATCGTTTCTCGCCGGCGCCTGGGATCAAACCCAGGACCACAGGATCACAAGTCCAGTGTGCTGTCCGCTCGGCCGACCGGCTCCGGAGGCAGACTCCATACAGTTTCAAATGTAGCCATGATCCATCCCAACAGGCTCAAAATCCTGTACACCAGTCAATTGACAGTCGAGAGGCGAGAACAAAGAGCCGAATCAGCTGAAGCTCAACACCTGCAAGTACAACTAGGTGAGTACATCACATGAGCCCTAGGTGCCTGCCTACTGGAAATCAAAGCCAGAACTTGGGCCCTCACAGAGAGCAAGGCATTATGATCTCCCACATCAAGGTAACATCTGGAAAGCATGTGAAATAAAGCAGACAACTGAACAGTACACAGAGAAAAGAAATGAAGCAGCAATCTACAAACAATCCACCCAGCACTTAAGGTAGAGCCCACTAGTTGCAGTTAACCACCACCAAGAGCTCCAACTCCCCATGTCAACAAGGCCCAACCACAAGGCCCAACCAGAAGACCCAACTAGAAAGAGTTATTTCATTACATTCAATGTTGGGTTTCTGAAGGAGTCAAAGAGCAGCTCCCTGAAGCTAATTAACCACACACACACACACACAGTACAAGGAAAAACAGGGCTTGCCAGGGAAAAGGAAGAGGAGGGGAAAAGTATAACTCTTGAAAAGAAGAATAGAGGATGGGGAACCCAACCTAGGGCAACACAAGCCTGACGAGAATCAGGAACAGAAACTGGGTAATAAGTTGTCAGAACATTGTTAGACCTACAAAACCCCAGACTTCAAATATATGCCCACAACATGTTATAAAAGATAGTACGACATTCACAAGCTTACAAATATCATGCTACGAGTTCCAAAATACCTTTTAGAACTCACTAGTCTGCAACATCAATATTCGAAAACACAGCATATAAATTTGCAAATGTCATGTGATGTTAGCAAACAGTATTTTATTATTTCTTGTTATCTATGCTGTCATAAAAATCTTTTGAGGGTTTTACTGTAACAACATGAATAAAAATATAAAATTATATACTTCTTAGAGGTTTCTAATTACCTATCAGGAATCCCAAGCCTCTTGACAGAACGATACATAGAGAGCACATTAGCAACATGACGATAATTGAACCAGAAGCGAGAAGTATCTACCAAAACTGCCCAGTTGTTAGTGTGTGTTTTTCCTTTCAACTGTTGTGGTGAAGCACCATCCTGAAAACAAATGTATAAACATCCATAAATACCAAAGTACATCTCTCAAGTATACCGTACACACATTATGAGGTACAACCATTAAACAATTGTAACGTACTATGACAATAATATTTTAATGATAGTGTTATGGATTAAACTTCAGTTGCTCCCTGAACCATAGCCATGAGCCCACTCACGTTATTGCTAAGATGCTTGGCCCTAGAGTGACTCTGCACTAGTGATGGGATAATATTAAAATTTCTAACTATTTCGATACCCATGCCAATTCCACCAAAAGTTTTTATTTCGATGTGATTGTCGATTCTTATTCCGATTCATTTAAAAAGTTCAGTTGAATACTTATTTTAATGTTAAGGAAAATTTCTGTATTTACATTTTACAAAATTACACGAGTGGTAGGGCAAGGTGGTGATGTGTGACACTAACACTAATAATACAGGAAGATGATGCTAATGGCTGAAAATTATACTGATGGAGTTATATTTTTAAATGGTACTGTAAAGTATAAAGTACTACTGTATTACAGTACTGTAGTACAGTACAGTAGTACAGTTGTGTTCAGTCTCGACTCACAATCAGGAATTAAGGGTTCAAATCCCAGGAAGGACAGAAATGATTGGGCATGTTTCCCATCACCTAATGCCTCTGTTTACCTAGTAGTAAATAGGTACCCATACGTTAGTCAACTTCTTGTGGGGTTGCATCCTGGGGAGGGTCAGTACTGTACTTCGATCTTGGAGCATCTTCGATATAAGCCTAACATGTGTATATACGGCTGCCTATCCAATAAAATTAATTATTATTATTATTAAGGTAAACTAGTTGTTAAAATTCATAGATAGATTTTAATTATGTAGCTTGTATAACAACTAGAAATAATGTGTGAAAAGTACCCGATAATGCAACTTACATTATTTGCGAAGTTTTCTAAAATGCAGAAGCATGCAACAGTCATCATGAAGAGTTTCATGGCTTTATGATACATGAAGTTCTGCAGGTGATGACAGCACGCACAGTCTTTCTGGGTGGTGTCACTTGACAGTTAGGTGCTAACTTAGCGAAGGTGCGCCTGGAAATAACCGCATAGAAAATTATACTGAGCAGTCACTTAACCACAATGAGTCCACCCTAGCTGTTGACAGTTAAAACTTTGTTACCACTCAATAGCTCTTATAATGAAGAGTGCTACACAAGCCTTGTACTGTACAGTATTTATGTTATTATTATTGGTCAAATGGAAGGGTCAAGAGGGAGTGTAATAATAATGTTACTGTACTTGTACATTTAGAGGTCAACTACAGAGGTGCCGTGTGTGGCCCAGTGGACTCTCGAGGGGTAAATTGCAAAGCTTTACAGCTAAACAAGCATCACCTGTCAGAGGAAATGAAAATGCCCTGCTGGGAATAAACACACTGATGGGCAGATGATTGGGGAGACCCAAGGGTACCTCAGAGGAATGCACACCCCACAGAGAACACTGGAATTAAATCATGTCGTAGCGCAGTCGATCAAGGCAGCGTCTGGGATGCTCTCAGATGTAGGTTCGAACCCTTATCACGGCCCTTGTGGATTTGTTTATGAGATGGGTATAAATTGGGTATGAAAACATAAGAATGAAAGTACAGGGGCACCTCGACTTACGATTGCCCCTACTTACGATAATTTCGAGTTACGATGTAAATTTCATCGAAAAATGCGACTCGACATCTGATGGTGTCGTCGACTTACAATATTTGTTGGTACACGTTCAGGTCGACTGAGCGCGTGGTTCCCGGTCACGCAGCCGACCTGCCTCAGTTTACTACAGCTGCCCGCTTAGTGACGATCGTGTCTGTAAGAAATTTCGCTTTTGTGGGGATTTTTTGCATTTTGAACATTAAAGTAATTATTATATATCATGCCACGAGTCCCAGGAAAGTCAGTGGTAAGGCTCAACATATGAGATCCCATGTAAGGATGACCATAGAGCAGAAACAAGAGATCATTCGTAAATATGAAGATGGTGTGCGGGTTGTTGGACTGGCTAGGCAGTACAACAAATCTCAGTCAATGATATCCACCATACTGTCTAAGAAAAAGGACATTATGGGTACTAAAGTGATGCATCATTAAAGACAAATGTTAAAACGAAGGGAAAAACAAATGTCTCTTAGACAAATTTGTAGCGAGACAAACAAGCACTGAACCACAACCAGGTCCTATTGGTATTCAGGCAAAACATAGGAGAGAGACTACCCCAGAGAAAACATCACTGCCTGATGTGATAATGGAAGGGGACTCCCCTTCCAAACAGTCACAACTCTCCTCCCCCCTCATCACCATCTTCCATATGCCATCAAAAGTCCTCCATAAAGGTAAGATAAACTTAGGTACTGTATTGTGGTTAGAAAAAAAACCATTGTATTCAGTATAATATGTATTTGTATGTTAATATTTTGGAGGTGGGGAACGGATTAATTCAAATCCCTTTATTTCTTGTGGGAAAAATCACTTCGACTTACGATCCGTCTCTGGGAACGGATTAGCATCTTAAGTCGAGGCCCCATTGTAACTACAGAAGGCCTATTGGCCCATACTTTCTTGAAGGTTGTGGAGGCCAAAACCATCAGTAATTTCAAAGCGTTATATGACAAAGCGTGCTAGGAAGACGGGACACCACGAGCGTAGCCTCATCCTGTAACTACACTTAGGTAATTACACATAGGTAATTACTGGGTAGGCAAGGCAAAACACAGCCCCTTCTAAACTCATACCCACATGGATAACCACAACAAGTTCTCCAGTGCCCTCTGGCAGAGCAGGTGCCAGCTGCCTACCATGCCCCGAGGGGACACCAGGAACACATCAGGACCTGCCAACTCCAAGATGGTGGGAAAAAACTGCTGCAACCTATGACAAATAAATACACATCACGGCAGGTGCTCGGTGACACACGGGCGTCCCCTGGGGAGGTGAGAGCCAGTACCCACCCTCACTGGAAGACAGTTTATTGATGCCAGGTAACCCCAGACGACAAAGCATCAGTTGTCCATTGGGTAGCTGAATATGTGAAAGCCAAATGATGAAAGCAAAGAAGCCCTCCAATACTCTAAACCCAATTGGGCAATATTCTCCGACGTCTTCCAGTGACCTTCCAGCAGCCAGCCACCTACCACCTCCGTGGGCACCAGGAGCTCACCAACTCTCAGTATCTCTCAGCCAAGCCGACGTTGGACACCAACTCCTTGCAACAGTCTCCGTGGTGTAGTGGTAAGACACTTGCCTGGCGTTCCGCGAGTGCTTTGTCATGGGTTCGTATCCTGGCCAGGGAGGATTTATTGGGCGCAAATCCTTAACTGTAGCCTCTGTTTAACTCAACAGTAAAATGGGTACTTGGTTGTAACGATTCTTCGTGGGGGTCGTATTCCAGGGACCTGCCCAAAACGCTATGCATACTAGTGGCTGTACAAGAATGTAACAACTCTTATATATATGTATGTATGTATATATATTATATATATATATATATATATAATATATATATATATATATATATATATATATATATATATATATATATATATATATATATATATAATTATATATATAATTATATATATATATGTTATATAAACTCCCCGACCGAAGAACCTGCCAGAAAACGAAAACAAAACAAGAAGGCAATCAACTTCTCTGAGACCCCGGGCGATAATGGTGCCAGGCGTCAAAAGTTGGCTGTTAAAGAGAAATACTAGACGGCATTACCGTGAACTAAAGTGCAGTAATGACGTTACGTTCACCTGCGACCCCCTAGGTGAAGTAGGTATCCAGTCATCCACCTGTTGTCAAGGTTGAACCAGGAGTCCCAAGTATAACTGATTGATGAGTATTATGCCACCCAAGATGTGGCACGGGCATGAATAGCCCGTAAAGACAGTATAATGATGATGTTGATTTAGGGGCGACGACAATCGTGGGATTGGATGCGTCCCGGCGTACCCGTCAAAAGTTAATAGCAAAGCCTAATGGCGAAATGAATATCGCTTATAATTGGAAACTAATGAGCCTCGCGGCAAATAAACACACAGACGGGCAGATGAGTATAATGTTGTGTGGGGTGGCGAGTAATGTTGTGATGTGAGTCCGGTGGTCACCTCTGTTGCTCTCGTTACCATTGTCACGTTTTCTATGGTTACCTCCCTACTCCCACCTTTTGAGCTCAGTCTCTCTATTTGTGCATTGGGCGTTCTCGAACACATTTTTTATATAATAATTTACGAAAAGGAATAACTAGCTTATCATGGCTGTAAATTGTAGCTAAATTATTTATGGGGTTCAGTTCCTAAGCCCACTATGTATGCACACTACCTCTATACCTTTTCCACGACCACCATAGCACTGGTATGGGGTGCATAATAAATGAACTAAACTTAAAAACTATTGATCTCTAAGCCTATCAACCTGTGGAGAGTTATAAAGGAACCGACAGATGAACCGTGTCTACCAATAAAACTATTTTTCAGAAAATCTTTGGACCAATTAATGTAGATAGTTCTCCTTGATTGGAAATACGCAGATTTACCTGAAGGCCACTAATACTAGTTACCTCGACGAGGACAGGAAGCCAGCGGCTTGTTAAAGGCACGGGCATGAATAGCCCGTAAGTGGTGGCCCTTTTGAGCCATTACTAGTATCAAGAGCTGATACTGGAGAACTGTGGAGGTGCGACTGCACCCTGCGTGACGGGAGATGTCTCCCGTGGCGTGCTCTATGACGGCCTGGCCCATATGTAAGTGGTTCACTGGTGTCCAGTGATCACACGGGAGACATCTCCCGTCACGCAGGGTGCAGTCGCACCTCCACAGTTCTCCAGTATCAGCTCTTGATACTAGTAATGGCTCAAAAGGGCCACCACTTACGGGCTATTCATGCCCGTGTCACCTTTTGGGTGGCTTAATCTTCATCCATCAGTCCAGTGATCGACGGGAGACATCTCCCGTCACGCAGGGTGCAGTAGCACCTCCGCACCTCGTGACAACCCATCAACATGGGTTCAGGGAGGGTAAATCTTGCCTTACAGGCTTGATAGAATTCTACGATCAGGTGACAAAATTAAGCAAGAAAGAGAAGGATGGGCGGACTGCATTTTTTTGGACTGTCGGAAAGCCTTTGACACAGTACCCCATAAAAGGTTGATGCATAAGCTGGAGAAACAGGCAGGAGTAACTGGTAGGACGCTCCAGTGGATAAGGGAGTACCTAAGCAATAGGAAGCAGAGAGTTACAGTGAGGGGTGAGACCTCAGAATGGCGTGAAGTCACAAGTGGAGTCCCACAGGGCTCTGTACTCGGACCTATCCTGTTTCTGATATACGTAAATGATCTCCCAGAGGGTATAGACTCATTCCTCTCAATGTTTGCTGACGACGCCAAAATTATGAGAAGGATTAAGACAGAGGAGGACAGCTTGAGGCTTCAAGAAGACCTGGACAAGCTGCAGGAATGGTCGAACAAATGGCTGTTAGAGTTTAACCCAAGCAAATGTAATGTAATGAAGATAGGGGTAGGAAGCAGGAGACCAGATACAAGGTATCATTTGGGAGATGAAATGCTTCAAGAGTCAGAGAGAGAGAAAGACCTGGGGGTTGATATCCTGCCAGACCTGTCCCCTGAAGCTCATATCAAGAGGATAACATCAGCAGCATATGTCAGGTTGGCTAACATAAGAACAGCCTTTAGAAACTTGTGTAAGGAATCTTTCAGAACATTATATACCACATATGTCAGACCAATCCTGGAGTATGCGGCTCCAGCATGGAGTCCATATCTAGTCAAGCATAAGACTAAACTGGAAAAGGTTCAAAGGTTTGCCACCAGACTAGTACCCGAGCTGAGAGGTATGAGCTACGAGGAGAGATTACGGGAATAATCTTGTGAAACTTGTGTAAGGAATCTTTCAGAACATTATATACCACATATGTCAGACCAATCCTGGAGTATGCGGCTCCAGCATGGAGTCCATATCTAGTCAAGCATAAGACTAAACTGGAAAAGGTTCAAAGGTTTGCCACCAGACTAGTACCCGAGCTGAGAGGTATGAGCTACGAGGAGAGATTACAGGGAAACGCAAATTAATGACATCGAAATAGGGAGTGAGCTAGGGAGCAGTGATCACAAAGAAATCAGATTTAGCATAGAATGGAATAGACCAGTAGGAGAAAATTCTGTTAAAGTGCCAGATTTTCGAAAAGCTGATTTTAATAGCCTAAGAAATTTTTTGGGTCAAATTGATTGGAAAGGCTTGGGTATGGGGTGTGGGCCGGTCTTGGAGCGAGACATGAACCCAGCGATAGGTGACTTAAATGGGGATTTCGATGTGGATTCAATATATAACTTATTTAAGAATATTCTAAACAAAGCACAGGAACGTAGTATACCATACAAATTGAATAGATCGTATACTAATGACCCAAAGTGGATAACAAAGAATTTGAAGAACCTTATAGGTAAAAAGAGAGCTTGGTACAAAAGGATTAAAAATGGGGAGGTCACTTTAGAACAGGAATTCGTACAACTGGTTAGAAATGTTAAAAAAGAGATAAGGAAAGCAAAAAGAAACTATGAAGTTCGCATAGCAGGGCAAGCAAAGACAAATCCTAAAGGGTTTTTTCAGTTATATCGTACTAAGACTAGGGAAAGGATAGGTCCATTAAAAACTGAGACAGGTCAAATAACAGATAGTGATGAAGAGATGAGTAGTATTTTTAATAAATATTTTGTATCTGTATTTACTAAAGAGGAACTTAACAATATGCCTTCAGCCGAACAAGTCTATGTGGGTGGGGACGAGGACAGGTTGACGAGTTTAGCAGTTACCAGGGAGGATGTTCTTAAACAAATAGTAAAACTCAAACCAAACAAATCCCCAGGGCCGGATGAAGTGTTTGCTAGGGTGCTTAAAGAATGCAAAGAGGAGCTTTGTGACCCACTGTCAACCATATTTAATAAATCAATAGAGTCAGGCAGAGTGCCAGAGTTTTGGAAAGTTGCTAATGTGATACCAGTTTTTAAGAAAGGAGATAGATCACTTGCGTCTAACTATCGACCAATTAGCCTAACGTCTATTGTGGGAAAGTTACTCGAATCTATAATAGCAAATAAAATTCGTCTTCATCTTGAAAAACATAAATTAATAATTGAGTCGCAACATGGTTTTATAAATGGCCGTTCATGTTTAACAAATTTGTTATCTTTTTATTCTAGCATTGTTGAGGCAGTTGATAGTGGTAAGGATTGCGATGTTGTATACCTTGACTTTAGCAAAGCTTTTGATACAGTGCCACATGAAAGACTGATTAAAAAAATAGAGTCTCATGGTATTGGGGGTGCTATATTAAGCTGGATTAGGGCATGGCTATACCAAAGGAAACAGAGAGTTAGTATAAATGGAATCAAGTCAGAGTGGGAAAATGTTGTAAGTGGAGTGCCTCAAGGCTCTGTCCTGGGACCTCTGTTGTTTATAATATATATAAATGATTTAGATTCAGGTTTGAGTAGCAACATTTGCAAATTTGCCGATGATACGAAAATCGGTAGGGAAATTAATTCGGAGGAGGACTCACTATCACTTCAAGTTGATCTAGATAGGGTTTTGAAATGGTCAAAGGATTGGCAGATGCAGTTTAATGCTGATAAATGTAAAGTTCTGAGGTTAGGTAATGATGATAGAGTTACAAGATACGAGCTAGATGGTGTTGTGATTGCGAAGTCGGATTGCGAAAGGGATCTGGGAGTTATGATTAGTAAGAATTTAAAACAAAAGGATCAATGCATAAATGTTCGTAATAAGGCAAATCGGACACTTGGATTTATTAATCGCAGCGTTAGTAACAAGACACCTGGTGTGGTTCTCAAGCTATATCTTGCTCTAGTTAGGCCCCATTTAGATTATGCAGTTCAGTTTTGGTCGCCATATTATAGAATGGATATAAATTCACTTGAACGTGTCCAGCGTAGGATGACTAAGTTAATTCCCCAAATTAGAAATCTTTCATATGAAGAAAGATTAACAAAGCTTAAGTTGCATTCACTGGAAAGGCGAAGAGTTAGGGGTGACATGATAGAGGTTTACAAGTGGATGAATGGACATAACCGGGGGGATATTAATAGGGTATTAAAAGTATCAACACAGGACAGAACACGAAACAATGGATATAAATTGGATAAGTTTAGATTTAGGAAAGACTTGGGTAAATACTGGTTCAGTAACAGGGTTGTTGATTTGTGGAACCAATTGCCGCGTAACATTGTGGAGGTGGGGTCCCTCGATTGTTTCAAGCACGGGTTGGACAAGTATATGAGTGGGATTGGGTGGTTATAGAATAGGAGCTGCCTCGTATGGGCCAATAGGCCTTCTGCAGTTACCTTTGTTCTTATGTTCTTATGAATTAAACCTCGCTTCGTTGAAAGAAGAGTTAGGGGGGACATGATCACCACATTCAAGATTCTTAAGGGGATCGACAGGGTTGATAAAGACAGGCTATTTAACACAAGGGGCACACGCACTAGGGGACACAGGTGGAAACTGAGTGCCCAAATGAGCCACAGAGAGCAATACAACAACAATCAATATATAGGATAACTAATCAAGCTGAAATCTAAAACTAATGGTCATAAATTACAACTAAATAATATCAACAAATAATATATGAACATATACAATAATATATTATTGATGCAATAAATACTGAACGTGAATGCAAAATAAATGACTGTAATTGAGAACTGCTAATTAAGATTTTATTATAATAGCTATACTGACCGTGCCCAGGATACAACCCACATTTACATTTATCAAACTCCGAGGTATGTATTAATTTCTACATGAATAAGTGCATTAGGTGTAAAGAATCGTGCCCATACGTCTCTGTCCTGCACGGGAATGGAGCCTGTGACCATTCGGTTGTGAGGTGACTACGCTGTCTACTGCGCTACTGGGACCCTTAAATGTCTAGTGGCAGCCCTGGTGCGCTTTATATATTTATACGTGTTTTGGAATATATTAACTCAACACCTTCAGGAAATTATAGAGCGTGAAAGAATATATAATTGCGTGTGTTGATGTTGGTTGTTGGAGTATATATGTGTATGTAGATGTATATGTATATGTAGAGGAGGAGGAGGAGTCTCGCAGCGGGCGAGATCACACGAGAGAAGCTACCGAGCTGGAGCACCCGGGCTCCCTCTCCTCCTCCTGCTGCTGCTGCTGCTGCTGGTGCTGTGTTGTGTTGTTGTTGTGTGTCCTCCACACCACCTGCCACACTGCCTCCACCCCCACACTACTCAGCCATGAGTGAAGACAACACCGAGATCAAAGGTGAAGGAGAGTAGTGTGGTGACCAACCATCCTCCTCCTCCGTCCCGCAGCCCTTCACCACCACACTCCATGGTGCTCTCCCTCTCCCACCCTCTTCCTCTCTACACCCGCCTCCTGGATGGGGGAGTGGGAGGTTCAAACACATGGTGTATGTGTGTGTGTGTGAGAGAGAGAGCCAAGGGTGTGTGTGTACTCACCTAGTTGTGCTTTGGGGGAGGGGGGCTTTGCTCTTTCAGCCCGCCTCTCAACTGTCAATCAACTGTTACTAACCACTAACTAATTTTTTAATTTTTTTCTGCTTCCCCCAGGAAGCGGTTCCAACAGCTATCTTACTCCCAGGTACCTATTTACTGCTAGGTAACAGAGGTAGCAGGGTGAAAGAAACTTTGCCCATTTGTTTGTGCCTGATCCGGGAATCGAACCCGGGTCACATAATTACGAGTCCTGCGTGCTGTCCACTCGGCTACCAGACTCCGTGTGTGTGTGTGTAATTACCTAATTGTGGTTACAGGATGAGAGCTACGCTCGTGGTGTCCCGTCTTCCCAGCACTCTTTGTCATATAACGCTTTTAAACTACTGACGGTCTTGGCCTCCACCACCTTCTCCCCTAACTTGTTCCAACCATCTACCACTATGTTTGCGAAAGTGAATTTTCTTATATTCCTTCAACATCTGTGTTTAGTTACTTTAAATCTATGACCTCTTGTTCTTAAAGTTCCAGGTCTCGGGAATTCTTCCCTATCAATTTTATCGATTCCTGTTATTATTTTGTACGTTTTGATCATATCACCTCTTTTTTAAATAAATAATAAATAAATATATGTTTATTCAGGTTAGGTACATACATACGAGAGGTTTTACAAAAATTGATAGATTTATAGATAGAGCTAGTACATACAATACCTAAAGCCACTATTACGCAAAGCGTTTCGGGCAGAGGTTTTTGGTTTTCTTCTATCTACTACTTTTGGCATATTTAACGCCTCTAACTTGTCCTCGTAGCTCTTGTCCTTCAGTTCTGGGAGCCACTTAGTGGCATGTCTTTGCACCTTTTCCAGTTTGTTGATGTGCTTCTTAAGATATGAGCACCACACAACTGCTGCATATTCTAGCTTTGGCCTAACAAAAGTCGTGAATAATTTCTTTAGTATTTCACCATCCATGTATTTAAAAGCAATTCAGAAGTTAGAAAGCATGGCATAGGTTCCTCGCACAACGTTCTTAATGTGGTCCTCAGGTGATAGTTTTCTATCTAGAATCACCCCTAGATCTTTCTCTTTATCAGAATTCTTCAGATTCCTCACATAACTTATAGGTTGTGTGGGGGTCTGTGTTCTGCTATTCCACATTCCATAACATGGCATTTATTCACATTAAATTCCATTTGCCAAGTGGTGCTCCATTGCCCGAAACGCTTTGCGTACTAGTGGCTTTAGGTATTGTATGTACTAGCTCTATCTATAAATAAATCGGAATGTTTGTAACTGCATCTATGTATGTACTTTTCCTAAATAAAATATTATTATTATTATTATATACTTATTCTGTCCAGGTCTTCATGGAGAGCATGAAGAAGACCTGGACAAAATAAGCTTCCATAGCTACAACTACCACCAACAATTGCAGCAACACCAGGACCTACCACCACCATAACTAACACCATGTCCACTATAATCCCTTGCACTGCTCACCTGTTTCATGTGGTAACTCTCTGGTGCAGGAATTAATGAATTATCATTATTGAAAATTTATAAAAAAATTATGAGAACATGAAAATATTGACAAATTCAATGACTATTAATAAGTTCAAAACACAATAAGTGAAAAAAATTAAATTATTACTAAATTAATTTTTTGTGCACGTAACCTGTCAAATGACAACCTGGTGTGGATATTGTAGGGGATAAATTATTAATGACCACCATGTGCACTGTAACCACCACTACTATAACCATCACCATTACCACCACTACTATAACCATCACTGTTACCACCACTACTATAACCATCACCACCACCACTGTAACCATCACCCTTACCACCACTACTATAACCATCACTGTTACCACCACTACTATAACCACCACTGTTACCACCACTACTATAACCACCACTGTTACCACCACTACTATAACCACCACCATAATCACAGCCACTATAACAATTGCTGTTACCACCACTACTATAACCACCACCATAATCACAGCCACTATAACAATTGCTGTTACCACCACTACTATAACCACCACTGTTACCACCACTACTATAACCACCACTGTTACCACCACTACTATAACCATCACTGTTACCACCACTACTATAACCACCACTGTTACCACCACTACTATAACCATCACTGTTACCACCACTACTATAACCACCACTGTTACCACCACTACTATAACCACCACTGTTACCACCACTACTATAACCATCACTGTTACCACCACTACTATAACCATCACTGTTACCACCACTACTATAACCATCACTTACCACCACTACTATAACCACCACTGTTACCACCACCACTGTAACCACCACCACTGTAACCACCATGACCACAACCACTATAACCACTACTACTATAACCACCAACCACCACCATGACCACAACTACTATAACCACCAACCACCACCATGACCACAACTACTATAACTATCACTGTTACCACCATTACTATAACCACCACCACCATGACCACCACTACTATAACCACCACCATAACCACCACCATAACTACCTATCCATTTTCAACTTGATGGGAGGTGACAGTGTTCTTTATCAATGGTTGTATTTTAAATATTTATATTAAAAGTGATAATTATTATAGTTAATAAAATGGTGTAGTATTGAGATGTTTATTATTGCAGGAGAACAAGAAGTGGATCTCATGGAAGAGCTGTTGGATTCTGCGGAAAATTTTGATGAACTCAATGATGTTTCTGATGATAAGAGCAGTAAGTTTGGCTGTCCTATGAGTTATTTTCAGTGGTATGGCAATCCATTTTCACTTTAGTACCTGTTTTGATTTACTCTAGATTTTATTAGGTTGAAATTTGTTATCTTATGTTTATCATGTAAACTGTACTCAATTGAGAAGGTAGAATGTGTGTAATACAGTACTATAGATTGTGTGTGTTGTAGGGAGGGTGTTCCATCTCTGCAGGAGGTCAACACTACAAGTTAGTCACATCCCATAATGCATATTGCTTTTGTCATTACTGTACTGTACTTAATGGTATGTTGTATGTATATATATGTATGTATGCCATACATACATCATCTGTAAACTTTTAACTCTACTCTCCTAGTGGTAGTTTCAAGAACTAAATATTGTTCTGAATTTTTCAGGATACCAAATATAAATGCATTGGGTGCAATTGATTATATGTACGTTGTAGTACAGTATGTCAAAAGGTCTGGGTATGCATTATGAAACAGACTTTGTGAGTTACCTGTATTGGTGCTGTATACTTTACTGTATTGCAGTTAGAATTTGACTTGTCACTATGCATATGGTTAAGTAAGATAATTGAAGATTGCTTTCGCATGGTTGCGAAATAATTTACAACCACAGTTGGTTGTAAATTATGATTTGCAATTACTTATCTAAATTTATCCATGAGCCACTCTATAGTGGCCTTGACGGAGACAGGAAACTGTTGGCTTATAATTAAAGACAGTGTATAATTATAGATCTGGTAATGAGCCGATATTTTTGGTTCAACGCATGTAAGCTAGTGACTTGCACACTTTACACTAGGAACGTGCTCTAACTAGAAATGTGACTTGCATTAGAAAATTATAATTAGTGGATAATAAACTTGTTTATTAGATTATTATAAATATGTAATACTTGCAATAATTAGATTATTATGTAATACTGTACATTATATTTATCAGAACCTGTTCCACACTTTCATGGAGAGTGGAATTGAAGATAATGATTACAGATTGAACTTGCTAATTAGATATCCTTTGTAGGCATACCTTATGGTTTTGCATGTTATTTTGTTAAAGATGGGTAAAAAAAAGGGTTATGCAATAGAGTTGCACTGAAGAAATTTACTAATGTTCTGGTTTCACCAATTTTATGTAGTGAGAAATAGATTGTAAACTATACCATCATGTGTGTGATTAATAGCAGAATGCTAGAAGTATGTAATTACCCAGGTGTAATCACCTAAGTGTAGTTCCAGGATGAAAGCTATGCTTGTGGTTTACCAGAAAAAATATAGACTTATATGAACACGTTTGCTGATGATGCTAAGCTACTTGGGAAGATAGGAGACATAGATGATTGTCATACTTTGGTCTTTTGTCATGGTCTTTTTAATCATAACTAAATGTATAACTAAGCTTTAGGTAATTAAGAAGAAAAGTCTCATCTATTCTATTACTTTCTGCAATTTATCTCATCATTTATTGCAGTGAGTTTTTGTTAGGTCTGCTCACCATCTGAGTATAATAAAGGTTATTATAGCTCCAACTTTATTCAGTAATTATTAAATATTAATATGAATTTAAAGTTGGTAATAGGATATATGTGTGTTTTAGACAAACGTCGGAAGAAAGTTGCCGAGTCTAAGGATGCCTTGTCTAAGGTTAAAAAGGACGAGAGTAAAGAAGTTGCAGCTAAGAGAGCAAAGCTGAAGGAGAAACAGGAAGCAGCACGTGCTAAGAGAGAGGGCAAGAAGAAACCCAAGACTGTTAAGAAGGATACTGAGGGTGGTGAGTTACTGTGTATTTTAAAGTTTTCATTATAGAGTATTGTTGGGTGACTGTAAGTAGACTGTACTGTATTAGCTGTTGTGTGGTAACTGTCTCTCATTGGCCAATGTAATAGGTCATGTGTTGACTGTTGACAGTAGCCGGTGCTGTGTGGTGACTGTTGACAGTAGCCGGTGCTGTGTGGTGACTGTTGACAGTAGCCGGTGCTGTGTGGTGACTGTTGACAGTCGCTGGTGCTGTGTGGTGACTGTTGACAGTAGCCGGTGCTGTGTGGTGACCTGATGGGTCTCATGGTAATTAGTGAGTGGACTGATTGGCACTCCCTGTGATTCCAAGTAACTTTTGGGACCATTTGTATTTTGTTTTTAGGAACAATGAAGAGTCTACTCAGGAAGAGTTTTTTGTACATTTTATTTTTAAATTCCGATTCTTTTTAAATGCAATTCTGCTTTCCTAGGCATTCCCATAGGTTTTTAATATTGTTTTGGGCTCATTAAATTTATTTATGCTAACTTTGCATAATTACATTAAATTAAATATTTATATTTGTCCAGTCCAGTTTGCAATTATTGTTTATTGTGAACACTACTAACCATAGCATTATTGTATAATAATAGATGAAGGAGACAAGACAGGTGAAGGTGAAGGAGAAATGGAGTTTGATACTAGAAGTGAAGCATCTTCTGATCACCAGTTCTCTGACGACGAGCCATCCATGAGCGAGGCATCCAGGGCGTCGTCCATCTCAAGGGAATCCTCAAGTAAGTTGGGGAAGTTTGCTGTCCACAAAAATTATTTTATAACCACACCTACATTAGGAAGAACATGTGTCAAAGCTTCATTCTACACTATATCAGAATCAGAATTAAGTTTTTATTCATAACTTACACAAATCATTCTAGTAATGGTTCAACTAAATAGTTGTACAACAGTCTAAACCAAGCTTTCATTTTTGGCATAAAGTGAGTAACATTTAGCTTAAAATTTGACAGGTGACATATAATGGGGGAAAAAAGTGTTTACCACACAGTCAAATTATAACATTGAACAAAAATGCAATGTACAGTACAGGATTTGGGTGTACTCATGTCAGAAGACCTTACCCTTAAAGAACACAATAAAGTAGCTGTCACAACTGCAAGAAAAAAACAGCATTGCCTGTAATGCTGAGCATAAGTCAACTTACAGCCCCCTTATGCTGAGCAGTTTAAGGGCTAAGGTAATCAAAGGTTTACAGATTTTTTGAACATTTTCAGTTTCTGTTCTAATATGGCCATTGCTTACTGTACTTCTAATTTCATGTATTTTCACATTAAGGCTTTTCCTTTTCTTACAGTCGAGAAAGAAGAAATGGAAGATAAAGAAGACAACAGGAAACGCAAGCGTAGTGCTTCAGAAAGTTCCATCAAGAGCAGTGAGGATCGTGAGTACTTAGAACTACAGTATTCTGTTCTTGGTATGGTCATGATGTGCACTCTACATATTTCCATAGCTCTTTAACCTGACATTTATTATTTTAAAATTTGAAACAATAAATAGAGCAATGATTGCATGAAAGGCTCTTGTCTACCTGTTACTTTGCTCACTCTTGTAGCTTTGGCAAATTGGCTCCACCCAAGAAATTATTCATTGTAAACCTGTATGTATTTAATTTAACACCCCACTATGACAAGGAGACGTTTAAAACAGTTGTGGGCTGGAACACGGCGTGTCTCAATCCACCATATATTTTGAAAACTCCTTTCCGTTTACGATTTTTCTGTTTACGAACCGTCACTGGGAACGGAATAAATATTTGAAAACCAAGGTATTACTGAAGAAATCCACAAGGGCCGTGATGAGGGTTTGAAAATATGCACGGGATGTTCCCAGATGCACTGTAGTCAACTGTACCACAACATGGGCAAAAGAATTGTAACCTGGAGTGCTACTGCCCTCACTAGGATCCCGAAGCTTCTTCAAAGCCTAATCGGGGTTTCACACAATTCCCCCATATTGGGGATATTTGTTCAAATGAACAATATATGTTCAAATGAACAAATATTTGTTCAAATGAATAAATATTTGTTCATTTGATACATCATGTTATTGTGATTTGTGTGTATAAAGGTATCACTGTATCAGAAACAGGATGGGTCCAAGTACAGAGCCCTGTGGGACTGCTGGTGTATTAGCATTGATATGGGTCAATGGCTGTTGCTCGGAAGCAACTGAGTGGAGGCCTTGCCTGGAAAAATCACCCAACTATACATATTTGGTGGGGGGGGGGGGCACCAAACTGTGAAATATGCATGGTGACCGAGGATGGGTTTGTTAAAACGCCTGACATCCTCTTTAAATGATTTAGCAGATATTTTGAAATGCAGCATTTTGGTTTAACCCTTAACATGCTAGGGGTATAATATCCTTTCTTCCCCACAGGCGCATGTAATTTTGAAAAAAAAAAATTATTTTTTCTTCCTAACCTGTTAATATGTGTTCACTGATCACGGGAAAAATAATAAAAAAAATCGTAAGTGGCATATATTGCCCGGTATAGGGCGGGGAAGTCTGGCAAAAAATAGGCGCTGACTCGGCGTGCGTCCCAGGCGGTCTGTTGATCGCCAGCTGTCAGGCCGGAGTTGCCACAAAGAGATAATTACCTAATTATTTCAATGTCTCTGATTGATTTTTCATAGTTTTTTTGCTGTAATATTATTCAATAGTGTGTAGTTTGATATATTTATATAATAAAATGAGTGAATCATCGCTGTACTCAAAAATATGGTGTGCATATTGTTGATTCAATTATGTTCATCAATCAGTGAACAAATACTTTGTCGGTTATTACACTATATACACAGGTTATATATAAGTATCTGCATGTTTTGTTCACCATAACGAACCACTAAGTAGCTATTATGAGTCAAAAAGTAACGAGGAGTGACCGCCGTGTACCAGCCAGCCACTCACGCCCTCCCTCAAGTCATCTGACTCACCCACATTCTCCTCCCACAATACTGTTTTTGCTTTTATTCACTATATACAGACGCTATATATAAGTATCTACATTCGTGTTCACCATAACGAGCCACTAAGTTGGTATGCTGAGTGGCAGTGGCAGGCAGTGGCAGCCCACCACTGGCTGCCACTCCCTCCCTCCCTCACCTCACCTGACTTGCCACCATTCTCCACCCACCATACTGTTTTTGCTTTTATATACAGACGTTATATATAAGTATTTACATGTTTTGTTCACCATAACTGTACATCTAAGCTTGTATGGTGAGTAAAGGCACAAAGACGTAGGACCTCACACAGTCAGCTGATGGCTGCCGCCCTCAAGGCCAGACGCACTAATATTTCTCCTCCAACAATACTGTTTGTGGTGTTATTACGCTATATACACACATTATATATAAATATCTACCTGTTTTATTCACCATACTTGTACAAGTAAACTGGTATGGTGCCCAAAGACCATCGTGGTAACCAGTAAACAACACCGTCGTCTGCACGGTGGCGTCGTGCAGACGACGCCACTGCCCTCGCCAAAATGGCGGCTCCCAACCTTCTCCTCTTGCTGTTTATACCCTCTATACACACGTTATATATAAGTATCTACATTTGTGTTCACCATAGCGAACCACTAAGCTGGTATGGTGAGTGCAGTCAATAAAAGGTGGCCACACACAGTCAGAAGACATCGCCACCACCCTCCCTCCCACAGCATTACTCCTCCCTCCATGGCGCACAGCGCTAAATATCACCACAATCCTGCTATTATCAGAACCCTGGTCAGTTTTATCACAGTCAGGGGTCTTCTGTAATAATATCATCGCTACATAATAGCATGAACAAGTATATTATGGCATTTTTAGGCGATGCTGTGGTCACAAGCTGAACAGCAGTGCTGTTAGCTCATGCTGCGTGCGTCAGGCTTGGTAGCTCACTCAATACTGAGGCCCCTAACACCCGGGAGTTTGGCCCACGATTTTTTTAAAAAATGGAGTCTGTTTACAAGAGCCCTGATGAAGGTGTGGTGAACCCCGTGTATCCGCGGGCCGTTTAAATCTTGCGTAGTACTCCAACACGTCATATGACGTGATGCGCAGTTGACTGGAACAACTTCCAACACGTCATATGACGTGATGCGCACTTTAAGGGTTAAAGAAGCCAGGAATGTAATACTCATATTCTCCATTAAGGAGAGTGGACGCTTTTGTGGTAAGTTGGTTTAACTTTTGAAGTGTAAAGTAATATTATATTACATTATATTATATTATATTATATTATATTATATATATATATATATATATATATATATATATATATATTATATTATATATATATATATATATATATATATATATATATATATATATATATATATATATATATATATATATATATATATATATATATATATATATATATATATATATATATATATATATATATATATATATATATATATATATATATATATATATATATATATATATATATATATATATATATAATAATATAAAATATATGACCATTTTATGAGTGAAAAGAAACAAATTTACCCCACATTAGTGTACTTAAATTCAAAATACTGTAAAATGTTTAACCTATCAAATTAAATATAAAACTTTATTCATAAATGGGTATAAATTTATAATTGGGGAAGTTTACATATAAAATTGCAGTGCAATAATTACAAAAGTGTTATAATAACAGCAGGTAGACATTATTATTATCTGAATCAGAATCAGAAATATGATTTGTACTGTACAAAAATACAGACCCCATCGTAGCTTCAAGAGTAAGTACAGAACAACTCCCAAAATCCAGGTTCCCAATGACGGTAACATCCAAATAGTGGAATGATTTTGCTACCAGAGTTCCTTGAAAGCTAGAGTGCATCAATTGCTATGGAAGTCTCAGCAGCAGCAGATGCTCATTGCATGTCTCGACAGTGGTAGACACTTTTATATTAAAAGATGGAAGAGATACAATGTTAGTCTAAAATTCCATAAATGAATTGGGGGAACATTTTTCATGTACTGTATTTTTTTTCTCGGTTCCAAATTCCATCACACTATTCTGAAAATGGGTCTCACTAGCATCACCTAGACTTTGTTTGCTAATGTTATAACCTTTCTTTGTATTTTTATTCACATAATCATCCCATCCACACGATTTTATTATGAATAGGAAAAAAAAAAACGCTGTTAGTGTGAACAGAATATGTAACAACAGTAAAAAGTGCTAGTATGTTGGTCGCTAACAATGTTTACCGCATCTCGGGTACTATACCTACCAAAACTAATTTATTGTAAGAACATTGTAGAAAAAATATAAGTTTCTGTGGGTAGCCCCTTCGGTTCCTTGGAGCTATCAGGCTAATATGCGAATCATTAGACCGGGGCATTAGTCTATGGAGTTCAGTCTACCGGGGACCACGAGCCAGACCCTGGCCCCCTCAGAGAGGAGCAGGGAGCAATGGCCCTGGAAACCACCCCGGTGGTTGGGGGGTTTCTTGATCTGCCATTGACCAGGGTTAGGCACCCAGAAAGGTAGGCATAACAAAACAGACCCCACATGGTAAAAAAAGTGCAATCGAAAACTGAACAGAGGCAGAACTCCCTCCAATCCCAAGGAAACAAGCAAACATCACACTCTATCACCGCATCACTCGTTCGCAACCCCCCTCCCCCTCTTTCGAAGTGTTTGCCTTCGTGGTGTCCTCTGTGGTGTTGTAGTGTGTGGTGGCCAGGTGTCCTCTAAAGAACCAGGGGTGCATGCTCTTAGGAGCCTCCTTCTCTAAGTGCCCCTGTGAGTACTATCCTTGCATGTTAGGGTTCTCTTCCCTGGTGCATTTGGGAACCAATTCCGTACGGGTTTTTACTGCTCGGCACTTACCCTTTCCTTGGGGCCATCTTGGGTTTCGTGGCCCGTGTTTGGCCTTGGGTAGGGATTGGTATCGTGCTGGTCGGGGCATCAAGGTGTTGTGCAGCCTGCCTAGCTACACGGCAGCTGGATCCTGTTTCCTCTGAGAATGTTGAAATTTTGTGGGGGTTTTCTTTTGTTTTTTGGTTTTCCTTGCTTGGTGTGGCTATAGTTTCCACTTACAATATATTGGTGGCTCTCTGCTAGGCCCCCGTGATTGTACACGTCGCATGGGGTTTCAGTGTTTTGATCTCCCCCTTGTTAGCTTTGGTTCTTAACTGGTTAGCAACACCTTGCGTGGGCTTCCCGTAGCAGTCAGCCTACGGGCCCTGGAAAACCCTGTCGGGGCTCGGTGGACCTATGGATACATCTTTCGAATTTCAACCCACCTCGTGTGGGTTTGAAAATAGCTGTGTGCCCTTGTCTCAGGGGTGACAGTCGTCGATTTTGCTTCTTGTCGTGCTGCCTGTTGGGTCGACAACACTGTTGATCCGGAGTCTTGCTAATTGTGTTCTCTGCTTATCCTCCAGTAATATTCTGATGACATTACTGTTAGTGTACAGGCAGTATCCGTGTTGCATGATAAGTTTAGGTTGATGCAACGCGCTAGGTTTGCAGGACCCGGCTCCCAGGACCCAGACCTGGGGGCGTTAGTCACTTCAACTTTGGTTCAGGCTCCCTGGTCCTTCCTCTGTTACTCATCCTGCACTTTCCTGCCTGCTTCCTGCTCCCAAACGTCTGAGGGTTTTGTAGTCGGGACAGGGTTTAGTTGGTAGTGAGACTCGGGCAGCTTAACACTTTCGCCCACTAATGACGAAGTATGGAGTCAATATTTTAGTACCTTATTTCCGCTAATGACAATGTATGGCGTCAAAATTTGGCCTGCTTTCGTCCTGGATGCGGGAGAGGCGCGCCGCGGTTTTGGACATTATATGCCTATACTCTTGTAGGGAATGTCATTGCGAATACGTTGATACCAAAATGAAAGACCTAGGACGAAAATTGAGGTAACAAATTTGAAAAAAGTAAACACATTTTATTGCTCTTGATGAGTGCTCATGGGGGTAATGCGCTGTTACTTTCTCTGTTTGCTGTGGGTGGTACGCCAGGCTTTTTTACTTTATATATGCATATACTCCTGTAGGGAATGCTATTGCAATCTTAATGATACCAAAATGAAAGACCTATTACGAGACTTGAGGTGACCAAGTGAAAAAAGTGTACACATTTCACTGCTCTTTAGCGCTCCCGGGTATCATGCTCTCACTTTCTCTGTTCGGTGTGGGTGGTACACCGGGCTTTCGGACTTCATATGTATTTAATTGCATAGAGAATTCTATTGCAAACACATTGATATCAAATTGAAAAACCTAGAACGAGAATTGAGATGACAAAGTATACACTTTTCAGCATTACCGTGCGCTCTAATGGAAGGCTGGGCGCGCCTCCCTGCTCTCTTCTGGGTAACCACGGCCTGCTTTCATCACGTCGGCGGGTGGAGCGTGCCACGGCTTTTGACATTATATGCATATACTTCTGTTGGGAATTGTATTGTGAACCCATTGATACCAAAATGAAAGACCTAGGACAAAAATTGAGGTGACCAAAGGGAAAAAAAGAGTGTACATATTTTATAGCTCTTGTGCGCTCCCGGGTAATTCGCTCTTACTCTGTTTGCTGCGGGTGGTAAGCTGGGCTTTTGGAGTGTGTATGCTTTTAGTCCTGTAAAGCATTCTATTGCGAACACATTGATACAAAATTGAACAACATAGGACGAGAATTAAGGTGACAAAGTTGAAAAGAGTATACACTTTTCAGTATTACCGCGCACTCCCGCGTAACGCCCAAAACCACTAGGAAAGGGGGAGAGATCGCTCTGGAACCGCAAAAGTGTTTAGGGGCTGCCCCGTTTGGGATGAGGACGGAGGCACTTGAGCCAGTTCCGCCTTCTGAGGCTTCCGGGTCCTACCAGCAGGCCCCCCTTCTTTTCAGCCTCTTCCCTGGACTCCGCCTTTTCTTCAAGGGTAGAGGGTTTGGAGGCCGGCTCTGCCCCGGGTCCCGAATTGGGGGATCCCAAGCTGGGGAGGAGTGACCTGGGGACCTTGGGCCCCCTTTGACCCTGCTTGGGTGTTAGTGCCCTCTTTGCAGGGTTTCTCATTGATAGGGGAGGGATTTTCTTACCCCCCTTCCCTGTATGAGTATGATTTACCATCAGCTCCTCCCTGGGGTCCGGGTTCCCTTGGGTTCCTCGGCTCCTTCATTCCGGAGGTTTTATGCCTCTCGAATCTCACCCAAGGAGGTTCAAGAGGCACTTGCTGTGTACCTCCTGCGAGACCGAATTCCACCCCATCATGAATCCATCCTTATTTAAGTTCGGTTCTTCTTCCCTGTACAGTATTGGGGAAGTCTTGACTGTTTCAGGACCATCGCTTGAACTGTCCTGGTCCTTGGACAGGGTGCTCTCCTATCTTTCTTCACCACAGTTCGTGGTGGCCTCTTCGGTTCAAGATTGTTTTTCCAAGGCTCTGTTTCTGTTGGCATTGGCATCTAGGGGCTGGGTCGGTGAGCTTCATGCTATCCTCTGGTGCAGGGGTTTCTGCTCCTTTGGGCCTGGTAGTCGGTTTGTTTGATTGCAGCCTTCTCCTTCTTTTCTGGTGAAGAATGAGACGGCGGCTTTCCAGAGGGGTCCTTGGGTTATTGATAATTGGTTGGTCAGGCCGTGAGAGCATCATGTCTTGTGTCTGGTTGCGGCTTTTCGCCGTTACCTGCGCACTTCGGCTTCTGTGGCTGGGGATGAGCTTTGGGTTGATCCAGTTTCCACTCGTTCCCTGTTCCAGGGCTCGGGTTTCCCATTTTGTCCACAGAGTTATTAAGTCTAGCCAGCCTGCGGTCTATCCTCATGCCCATGACGTTAGGAAGTTTGCTGCTTTGGCTGCCGTGTTTGGCAACATGTCTTGGGTTGATATTCGAGCATGGGGTTTTTGGAGGTCGAACAGGGTCCTGGCCACCCAATATTTGGTTAATGTTCCTGGGCCTGGGCATTCTTGCAGGTTGCAGCCTGTTGTCTTAACTTCGCGTTGAGGAATGTGTAGCGGCCACCATCCAAGTAGGTCCCTCTTTGACTTATTTTTGGTTATGTGGTTCCTTGGTGCCAAAGGGGCTCCCACAGAAAACCAGCATTGAATGTAACGAAACAGCATTTTCTGGGTGAGCCCCGGAGGCTCCCTGGCAACCCTCCTTCCCTCCAGTCCCTGGTAGACTGACTCCATAGACTAATGCCACGTTCTAATGATTCTCATATTAGCCCGATAGCTCCAGGGAGCCTCCGGGGCTCACTCGGAAAATGGCATTTCATTATATTCAACGCTGGTTTTTTATTCCCCTATAGAATTAGCAAATGACAAGTATAAAGCATTTCTTTGATTTTCCTCGGTTTTGGGTAGAGTTCTAATTCCCAAGTTCCCCTTGCCCTTGCCTCGTGGAAAGGACTACATTCTAGTCCTGTTTCCCAGTCGGGCTGCTTGGGTCTTAGAGGCCTAGCATGAATTTTAGGCTTGATGGTTCTAGTGAGCAGGCATTAGTAAGCTAGAGACATACCAGAAAATGTCACTTCATTGCATTCAGTACTTTATTTTAACACTATTTTTGTATCCTGTTACATGATGACTTGGGGATAATTATCTTGATCTGCTATGGTGAAACTACATCTAGGTTTATGTCTCAGGGTTTGCGCGACTTGCTGGTGAATCTCGAAGAGACCTTCCTCCTGTTACATGGGTTTTACCACCAGGATTATCAGCACGTGCCCTTGGAGGAGTTTTTGAACTGGACTGGATCTCTAGGTGAGTTGAAGTGATTTTGTGTAGCCTTTTTATTCTTAGAAAACTATAATTGTCCAGGTAGGATCCCCTATCTACTGAGCATATTAATATGTAATCTATAGACACAATACAGTATTAGGTCCTAATTTTGTTCTGGCTAGCATACAACCTGCAGTTTTCACCGAGGAAATTGCATCTGTTTATCCATTCACAATAGTTTTGGATTGGAATGTTTAATTCATGTCAAGTCTTTCAAGGCCCTATTTCAGCACTGTTTATATTGCATTGTATACTTCTGCTGTTTTCATAGTGAAGGGACAATACTAACAATTTGTGCAATTCCAATACAATACCTTCCACTAAAAAGTCTTGATTCCGATGTGATTATCAATTCCAATTCCGAATCTTTTTCAAAATATAGTTGGAGACCTTTTTTCTGAAATTATTCGTATTGTAGTTTGTAAAATTAATGCTTTATATTATGAGCATGGTAAAGTATTAATAATATAATAGAATGATTTAAGAATGGAAAACAGTTGGTAAGTCCAGCTTAATCTTCTGGAAAATACCTGAAAAGTGAAAACATCTCATTATGCATACAGATATACATGCTTTAATTGTGGACGAAACAATAAATTAAAATGTGTATTCTTATTTTAAATAAAGTTAATATTGCAACACTAGCTCATTTGAAGCATAGCCAATTCCTTTTTACTCAAAAAGTGATCCTTAATGTACAAAATGTAAGAAAATAAGAAACACAGAAAACATTGCATTACTCATCACAGTTATATACAATTTAAAATATATTAACTTTTTAATCCTTTTTTCATAAAATTTCAATTAATTTTGATATTAAATTCATTTTATTAAATCCCTTTCACGTTTTTGCCCGCTTACTATTTTGTTAAGTTGTGGATGGAATTGTCTTCAACAACCTTTTCCTTCAGTGCAGATATGTGCCCGCGCATCCTTCTTTGGCCAGGGCTCGAATCCTGTTGGACTTTGAGGTGCAAAAGGTGCTGTAAGGGTGTGATTAGTGTGGGCATCTGGAGATAATGTGGCAGGGCAGATGATGTATTTCTCAGGTGATGCAGTGTGGTGAGAGGCACGAATACCTTTTTTGATCTCCTTTCAGTGATTCAATATGTTGTTATATTTTCTGTTTTTCAGGAGAGATTTGTCCTTCACTAAAACACAACATCTTTATAATCCTTGGAATGAGGGCAAACCAGTTAAGATTGGCAGAGATGGTCAGGTATGGATATAATTCACATGCTCTTAATCCTTATTTCAGTCTTGTGAAGTTCAAAATGTACACTATAGGTTACAAATGTTCATTGTGACTTTAGTGTTAAGTTTCATGTAAATTAAATGGCCTCAGTATTTTTATAAATAAAATGTTATACATATTATTTTATTGCAGTATGTAGACACGTAAAACAAACTTTTTAAATTCCCTTCTTGTATAGTTTGGTGAGTGAAGGCATAGGTATGTTTAACACTCGTTCTTGTTCCATGTAACACTGAAGTGTAATTTTTATCCTGCAGGAGTCATTGAAAAAAAAAAAAAGGTATAATGTGGATGGAGTTAATGAACTGCTACTTATTGTCAGATACTAAAGAAGCTTTTTGCAATGTATTCAGAGGAACTACAAGCAAGGGGGTTATGCACTTAAAAAAATGTAGAAGAAAATTTGTTCTTTCTGTGGGGAGCCCCTTCCGCTCCCTGGAGCTATGGCTAATGTGTGATATATTAGAACGGGGCATTAGTCTATGGAGTTCGACCTACCGGGGACCACGAGCCAAAACCTGGCCACCCTCAGAGAGGTTGCAGGGAGCAATGGTCCTGGAAAACCCTCCCTGTAGTTGGGTTTTTTCCTTATCTGCCATCGTCCAGAGTTAGGCACCTGGTCCCTGGTAGGTCAAACTGCATAGACTAATGCCCCCGGTCTAATATATCACACATTAGCCCGATAGCTCTTGGGAGCCTCCGGGGCTCACCCAGAAAATGGTGTTTCATTACATTCAACGCTGTATTTTTCAGTTATGCATTTATGTTAATTTCAGCAAATATGTTACCGTAAGCTTAAGTCATGCACTGATACAATTACAGGGTGTGTACTCGCTTGGATGTGCTCATAAGGTACCGAATTGGCCTCGACGGCATCCTCATCTAGCCGTTTCATTTATTTACAACTCTTAAACAGAAGAAATTTCTTTTGCTGTCTGTGTCTTCAGTTTCCATTTTATTCCTTCATTCTGCTCTTCCTCACCTTGAACATTCCGTCTCCATCTACTCAGTCCTCTGCGAGGCTCTGAGGTTGGGGGGGGTTCTGGGATTATTGATTAACCAGTGCCCTAGGGTTCACATGCTTGTATATACAGCAATCTGCCGAAACCTTTTGTGCTGCATTCAGTGTCAATTCATCCAGTGAGTGTCCCTATTGCCTGGGTGTCTTTACCTTCAGGCCCTGGCAAGCTTTGTGGAAATTTGGTGTGGTTTATCTTTGACTGGGCCCCCTCAATCAGGCTTCTTGTTAGTTTGAGGGATGTCCATTGGTTTAGGTAAATCTGCTCTCAACAAGTGAATCAACTTTTGTTTTTTGTGAAATTTACTCTCTCCAAATTATTCAGTTTCATGGTTTACTGTTCTGATCCTTGTGGGAACAACATGAAATAATTTACTTATTGGCACTTTATTTTCTTCCAAGACTTCCATCTCATTCATAAACTTGAAATAAGTATTGTCAGTGCAACAGTATATAAACCATAAAAAACAGTCACATTTTATTAATACGGTATCTGTTTTTAATTGTACTTGGTATAGATTTATATCAATAGTGAAAGTTTTATTAGGCAGCAAAATTTATCCATATATGTGTAATTTGTGGAAAGATTGTTATACTTTATTATGAATAAAAATGTAGATACAAATGCTCTTTTAAATTTTTCAGGAAATTGAACCACGTGTAGCAGAGGAACTGTGTCGACTCTTTCCCAAAGATGAAGGAATTAATCTCACACCTGTTTTGCACAAGAGTAAACGTGCTGCTCGAGTGGCCCATGCTAGGGGTCCACTTCGTCGGCCGCTACAATCAACAGGAGACCGCCGAGGCCGTCCCAGAGAACGTGGAAGCTTCAGAGGTCGGGGGGACATTGGCTTCAGGTGCGTCACTACCACGGGAGTTGAGTCTCGAAATGGAGAAGCCTGCATTTTGCTGATACTGCCACTGATACTTAATGTATCTCCTCAGTTTATGCCACAACCAGAACTACAGTTTTCACTACTTTTTACACAAAAATTGTTTCATTTAGTTGATTGGTGGCTTAAGCAAACAAAACCAGATTGACACAAACATTCACTCCAACTCACTAACTTCACTCATGTTAGATTATGTATATCCTACAAGTTATTAAACAGATCATTCACAACACAACATTATTCCTGCTGTTAGTTCCTGCGAGATGCATTACTGAGTGAGACTACAGGAAACCTGAGTTTTCAGATTAGTAACAGTGGCAGTGGGCATCAGGTTATTCTCCAGCTCCATCAGTGCAGTAAAAGGACTCGCTTTCTGTTGGTGAGCGGCGGCGTGCCACAGCCGCTACTACTGGTATGAGGGTAAACGTGTGAGACAGGTCAGGCCCCAAGTGGCCCCGCCCCACTCACTCACTCAGTGTCTTGTTACCGCTCTGTCTCTCACCCCGGTGCTGAGGACCCTTATCCTCTCACAGGACTCTGTCCCTTTCTCTCTCACACAACCTGGCTAGTGAGTGACACACCTAGCACACAAACATACCAGTGCAGTGCGTACCTCCTCATCATTCTTATATAACTACAGTTATGAAGAACTTTGTTACTTGGTTCTAAAGAGCAGGCATAGACTAGGAATTTCCTTTTGATGATTAGAACTTAAAAGGTAGACAAGTGTGTATTGTAAAGCTGGTAAAAGTTAACACCCTGTGGACTTGTCCATCACTGTATCTTGAGGGACTTACATCCAAATATTAGTATAACGAACTTCGTGAAAGTAGTGAATGGTTGGCTCAAGTCCACGTACCAGCAGTAGGTGACACTCACTAGCAGGTTGGCACAGAGCCAGGCCCAACCATGTGGACTCGGCTTAGCTGTAAGGTATTGGTCATAAACTTGTTGGTAAGGTAGTATCTTGCATGGACTCGCTCAAGCATTCAGGACTAAGTGTGTTGGAGATTTGATAAAGCTTAAACCAGAGATTATAGGCGGCAGTATCCCAGTGCTGATTAATTGATCTAAAAGAGAGTATTTGCCTGGCTAATGAAATAGTGATGGGATATTAGTGAGAGTGAGAAGTGATTAGTGGAAGTGAAAGTGAATTAAAATGAAATTACATGCGAAATAGTGGTGCATTGCGTTATATTCAAGACCACAAGAGGGCAAATCCCTGACATCCGTACTTATCCTCACCCAATGTCTACACAACACTTCATCATCACATGGTGAGTACAGCACAACATTTTATTATATATATATTTATATATATATATTTTATATAGTTTCATATATGACACTTTTCAGGGCTAGTAATTTCAACTTCGTATGTATTTCCATTCTGATGATATTTGAACTAAAATGCATATAATTTTTATGCCTGGTCAAGAGGTAATCAGAAATTCTTTGGAAGTATAAGTTTTCTTTGTCTTTGAAATCGTGTATTATTGATTTTTTAATTCGAACATTTCTTGAATGTCCTTGCTGGAATGTTATGATTATTGTGTTGAATCCTCAGACTCTAATAGATAGTGTCTTTAAGCTCTTTCCTGTTTTCATGATATCATAATGAATTGCCATTTTGCCTTTGAGATGCTCATTGATGAGAATTACATGCCATATACTGACTGATTATATGGCCCTCCACTATGAAAATTTCAATAAAACTGAATATTAATAATGGGATGCAGAAAGAGATTTACTACCAAAGCAAAGTACTGTAAAGATATAAATGAATTAACAGGACAAAATATGGGAAGTAGTAGTTTGCTTGGCTCTGGAGATGAAGACAGATAGGAATTAGAATCTAATCCAAAAGATTGTGCATCAATATAAATTTCATGAGTACGAAAAAGATGAGAAACTACAAATATTTACAGAGGTCATCAAATGTATTGAATAAGGAAAGTTTTGAAAGAGAAAGAAGGATGGATGTAGGTGTTGAAAATATTTGTAGATGGAGTTTTAAGTAAGGAGGATTGAGTGGGCATATTAGTGTGTAGACTGGGATGGAACAGTGACACACTGGCAGAGAAACGTCTCACAACCCAGCAAGTGGGGGGGGTATTAGTGCACCAAAAATTAGAAATAATAAGTATGGAATACAAGTTGACGAGTGCTAAGAAACTTTAAAATAAACATCATCACTATTCATCGAGACATTTTACAAAAATACAGTGTCCACTCAATTTAACGGCCTATATGGGGCTGTACCCTGGTCGTTATTTCCGGAGCTCCGTTATTTCCGAAGTTAAGTCGAGTCGGGTAATTTTTCAAGTAACATTCAGGTAGGATATACTTTATACTGTATAACTAAAATTAAATCAAATTCTTTGTGTAATTGTGTTCCAATTTAGTGCCACGCCGACGATTATGCCAGCTGGTGGCTGCTGCATGGATGATGTGTGAACACGGTCGGATCAAGTCCAGATGGGTGGGAAAAAATTTGTTCATTTCTTTGTATTGCAAAATATTTCGTGTATCAATCAGTGATTGTCAATATTTTCTCAATAAAATTTTAGAGATGTGTTTTGTTTTACCCTGAACAGTGCAGGTAATGTATTTTTAATGTTATGACACAGGCTGTGGCGGCCAGGCCATAACAATGGCGATCGAGCCTTGTCACTGAGAGCTAGCCAAGACAAAATATTTTGAGCTCACCTTTTCTCTCCTAATGATAGAATATACATTTGCAGAGACCAATATGTAGCTTTTGTAGAAAAAAACAATTAATATGTTGTAATACTATAATAAAATTGGTAAATTGACTTACTTTTAATGAAGCTGAAGATTACGAAGCTGTGAAGATTACGTCATCCTCTGCAGCGCTTGTTTTATATTGTTCAGTACTGTATACTGGGTACATACTGTATGTACACTTATTTTCAGGCATTCACTTCACACAACAGCTAGCCTTACTACTAATTCACACGAGTTCTAATTCTAATTCACAATTGAAAATTATTTCTACTGTATATTTACATTCTACAGTATCTTTTTGTCAAGACTTAAATAATCATTAACACTTACAATACTGTACTCTATTAACACTTTTTACACTAATTTATATTCCTTTCAATCATATTTTATATCGTTAGTGGAGGCTATACGACTTCTGATGGAAATTCAGCATCAGCGGGTCCAACATGGCATGTTGAGCATTCGTTGCTGGCGGATGCTCCATGACTTGTCGATGGGAATTCAGCATTGGCGGGTGCAGCATATCTTGCAGAGCATTCGTTGCCGGTGGAGGCTGCACAACTAATTGATAGGAATTCAGCATTGGCGGGTGCAGCATATCTTGCAGAGTATTCGTTGCCGGCGGAGGCTGCACGACTTGTTGATGGGAATTCAGCATCGGTGGGTGCAGCATAGCTTGTAGGGCACTCGTTGCCAGCGGATGCTGCATGACTTGTTGAATTCCCAGTGGGTGCTTTCACGAACCGTTGAAATCATGAATTTATCTATTTTTGTCTGAATCTGATTTTCTCTGGCTAATATTCTGAGACATTGCTCTCAGCCACGCGAGTTCACAGTAAACAATGCGGTCACATGGCCAGGTGCAGTACATTCTAGGTCCGTGGGAAAAAAATACCTATTGCCTATACTATAAAAGGTATTTAATAAGAAAACAAAGAATTTTGCTTAATAACAATTGTTTTAAAATATTTTATTAATAATTTAGAATTTTCTTCATAAAACTGAATCATTTTAAAAGAAAGTTAAGATTTAATATATATATAATCGTGACAAGTGGCCTTGTACCATGCATGTAACAAATGTTGTAACCCTCTTTGTGTAATGAAATTTTAAAATACAATTAAGTTAGATATATTTACACATACTAAAAGAATAGGGGTGATAGGAGAGAAAATATCAAAGTGTTCAGTGAGGATCCACAAGGTCTTTTCTGGGTACTCTTTATTTTCTTCTCCGAGGCTATGGGTCCCTACACTTGCACCAGAGGTGGTACCCCTATTAGGAAAAAAAAAATACAGTATATATATACTAGTGTGTATATATATACAGGCATACCTCAGTTTAAGAGTTTAATTGGTTCCTGGAGACGCCTCGTATTCCGAAAACTCGCATTCCGAAGCTAATTTCTCCATAAGAAATAAAGGGAAATGAATTAATCCGTTCCTGACTACCCCAAAAACCCCACATCAAACTAAATTTTTATACCTAATTCATCTAAATAAACCTACAAAACTATGTTCAAGTTATTACTTACCTTGCTGTTGAATGCTGTAGGCGTATGGAAGATGGTGAGGAGGTGGGAGGAAGAGAGGAGTTACTGTTTGGAAGGGGAGTCCCCTTCCATTATCACATCAGGCAGTGAGGACTTCACTGGTATGCACACTCTGGCACATTTTGCCTGCATACCACTAGGACTTGCTTGTTTTACTAAGAATTTATCTAATAACACTTGTTTTTCCCTACATTTTAACACTTGTCTGTAGTAAGACATCACATTATCATTTAAAAGGTCAATGCAACGGCCTGCTACAGCTTTATCTGGGTGAGTTTTTTCAACAAAACTTTGCAGTTCTTCCCATACTTCACACATTTTCTTAATCAAGAAGGGACATCCTCTACTGCCTCTACTCACAGCTATTTTCTTAGGTTGAACCTTACCAATGGCTTTCTTGAGACCCATGGCAAGATATATAATGACAACTTTTATGCTCAAATGGCCAAAAAACCGATAAAAAACTGTAAATCCTTGTGAAGAATTCAGGTGGGATAGTCACTGGACACGAGACACTGGTAAACTGAGGCGCGATTGCCATGCCACCACGCGCCAGTCGGCCTGTACACGTATCAACAAACTCGTGTTCCGAGGTAACCCTCACCTTCCGAGACATATTTTTGGAGTAAATCCTGCTCGTCTTCCGAAAAACTCGCATACAGGG